TGCGAAAGTACAGAAAAAGAAAAATAGCGTAACATGGATTAACGACAAAATAACAGTGAATTATTCACCTAAAAAAGTGATTACTTAAATTTGAACTTCGGGTGTCACTAGATTATCGTATTAAAAGTAACAAAGTTTGAAAAATCTTGTGGAGATTGCAGAGAAAACGATAAATAACTATCGGAAATCAATGAGGATTAACGATAGAAATGTGTTAATCGAGAGCGTCAACTAATTCAAAATTCATGTATTTTAACATCGTGTTAGAAACATCGGAATTTGAAAAATCACATGTAAAAAAAACAAGAAAACGGTAAAAATCCAGACCAACAAAAGTTACTAGCAATTTTTGCCAATCGGTGAAATCGCGCCTTAGTTTTCGTTTCAGTTATTGTCTTATTGAGCTATAAAGCACTTTTCGAAAGATATGCTACACAAGATTAAGAAGTACACAGTACATAGTAGCCTATATGTTGTGAGCTAGGTTAATATGCGCGATTCATATTTATAAAAAAAAAATGGTCAACTTTAAATTATATAATAATATACAATATATGCATTGATATTATTTTCTATAAATTTCTCCTGGTTGGCGCATAAGTTCTTTTTCTTTTGGATTTGAAAGTGCATGTATGGCTTAAAATTTCTTATTTATCAGCTTTTACGTCAAGATGTCGGAAAATATGTACCGCCCTGAGATCAACAAAAACATGCCCTGGTTTAGAATATCAGAATATTTTAGTACCTTTTCGAGGTTTACCTTAAATATTTCGTAACATATCAGCGTAATGCTTCGTCGATGTAAAAATTTACGGCTTTAGTGGTGGGATCGAACTACCTAGCGGACAAACGCAATTTTTTTTTTATTACTTTATATATACAGTCAAATCCCGCTATAGTGAACACGGTTTATAGTAAACTCCCGGATATAGTGAACGAAATGTTCGGTCCCGTGCCTTGCTATACACGTATAATGTTATTTTTAGTGGATATAGTGAACCAAAAAAGTGAGGAAGTTGGATATAATGAACATTTTTCTGTCTTCGACTGATTTTTTTCTTCATTTTTTTGTAATAATTTTGAAATTTCTTCTTCAAAATAAATACATATACCTATTTTTAGAATTATCTATGTAGCGACAAGCATTTTTCTTATTTGCTTCTTTTATCTCACTTTCCCATCCCTAAACAAACTAAGTAGATGTTTCCAACTCAGGCAGATGATCCATCTATAAGGTGTCAGTGGGATCAATGTGCATTTTCTGTCAAAGGGAATGAGTAATTATTCAATATTGGTCAAAGGGTTGGACACTAATATGTGTTGATAAGGCTCTCATTTCAACTCCTTTCTGCTCTCAGTTCAGTTAAAAAAATCCTGCAAAGAAGTGTCTCAAATTTAACTATGGCGATCAGTTACCGTAAAACGTTCTCCATTGATGATAAAATGGACATAATCAGAAAAATTGAAAATGGATGCAGTCAAGCTAATATTTTCAGGGAATATAAACTGCCCAAATCTGCAGTTTGTGACATATGGAAAAATAGGCAATTAATAATTTCTGCTCATGAAAAAAATTTAGATGGCAGAAAAAAGTTGAGAAAAGCAGATCACAGGGATGCTGAAGAAGCATTACTGAAGTGGTTCACCAATCGAAGAAGCCGCAATTTTACAGTATCTGGACAAATGTCGATGAATTTGCTACGCGAGTTTGTGAAACTACTTTTATGTGCTCGAATGGCAGGTTAAACAGGTTTAAAAAGTGGAATAACATAAATTCAGGATAAATTATCTGAGAGTCGGGAAGTGTTTCCATATCTGATGTTGAGGATTGCTCATCAGCTAAAGATTACTAATTTTTTTTTTGTACGCAAGACGAAGAGTAATGAAAAATAACACATTTTTTGCTACTACATAATGTTTTTCAGTCATTTATTTGAATAATGTCAATTTATTTGAAAAAGGGAGGAGTTTGGGAACCATTAGTTAAATTGCCTGCGTAATGGATATAGTGAACTCCCAGTTATAGTGAACTGAAATTTCGGTCCCTTGAAGGTTCACTATAGCGGGGTTTGACTGCATATATATAGGGTGTTTATAAAGTCCCGGACCCATTTTAATTTTTAATAACTCATAAAATAATAAAGATAAATTCAAATTAATAACATAAATGGTTAGATAGACTCAAAAAGTTTCATGACCATTGTCAATGAACTTCCACGTGTGCCCCTTTCGTCGCACGGAGAATATCAAGTCGATAGTCAATTTCACGCCAGGCAGCGGCAAGCATGTCGGCATCCACAGTGGCTATTGCGGTTGTAATTCTGGCTTTTAGGTCATCAATGTTCGACACGATCCTCTTGTAAGCATTGTCCTTTATAAATCCCCAAAGAAAAAGTCCAGCGGCGTTATATCAGGTGATCTGGGTGGACAAGGAATTAGATATATAATAATGATATGTATTACAAATTAAAACCTCCAATATATTGCTCTATTAAGCAGGTACAAATAAAAATGAAAATAAATTAATACTTCTGAAATACATTTTTTATTATTAAATTGCTAAGAAAAATGCCATTTAATTGTTAATACTAATTAAAATCCAAATTCGATTTTAATGTTTACGGTAGAAAGTCAATCAAGAGCAATCGATTTGAATAATTACAGATGAAATTCATGATGTGATAAGAAATTAAAATTTTAAAATATTAAAAATTTATTAATTCAATAATTCTTATTTCTTGGTTAAATTAAATAGTTAAAAAATTGGTCTCACTGCTAATCGCTTCGGTAAAAATTACCAAGTGCCAGAAATACGCGAATTTTACCATAAGTAGTTTTGAACGTGATTTTTTCACAGTGTAAACCTCATTTGCATTGGATACGATATAAATTACATAATTCTCAACTGAGGTAATTCCTTAAATCTGTTACAAATCTCAGTTTGATTCAAGGAATCTTTCTATACGTATCGTTTCACTTCACTATTAAAATAAACATATCGCATTCATTTAGTCAATTTTGAGATTTCAGATTCTTTTGCATCTGCTGTGAAATTAAAATATTTTCAGCGCATAGTAAAATCATGAAATTAACAGAAAAAAAGTACCTTAACTGCTCTATATATTCGCGTTTTAGGAGTGTGAAGACGAAACAGAAATTTCAATTAATCTGTGAGCTAAATTACATTACTTAACGCAAGAGCATGATGCAACATTTAATTGAGACACCTAAGTTTACGTTTGGAATAACAATTAGATGCGTATAATAATGTTGCTCAGCAACTTTACCAACCCTGAACTCGTTCAATTTCAATAATATATTTTTTATTTGAACATCGTAAAGTTGGCATTTAATAAAAATAAAAATAATAAAGTGAGTTAGATGCAATGATTAGAGAGTAGAGAGTTTATAGGATGGATTTTTCAGAATTTATAATTTATATAAAAAAAATTCTACGATAAATATTCTAATGCGACAATGCTAGTTTTTTTATTTTTTATTTATTTATTTATTTTTTTTTTTTTGAGGAATGTTTGGTATTTTAGTTGCATGCGTATACGACTTCCTTCTCTTCCGAATATTTGTAGTACATTTTGGTGTTTTGTTTCAAATTCAAATCAAAATTAAAGACTTTATAAATAGATTCTGGTTTAGTGAATTTAATTTAAAATTATAATGAATACATTCAAATAAATTAGCCATCCTTTAATAGCCTGATAATTCATAAAAATATTTTTTAACTTTTGGCAAAATATATTAAAAACTTGCTAAGAATTGAAACTTTAATTCGATAATATGTTTGAGCATATTGCAGGAAAATTAACCCATCTTTAACTCTTACGATGAAACGAAAAAATTATACACTTATAAACGTTATTAAAGTTGTGATAAATTGGTATTATTGTTCATAGTATTGAAACCATGGTTAGACTATTTTTCTGAGATTGTACTTTATAGGTTATTTATTTCTAGTTTAAACAGAGACATGGTGTGATTTTACGCGTAATAAAAGTAAAATCAAATTGGTATTATAATTTAGGTTTTGAAACCATTGTTAACACATTGACTGCCAGCTGAGTGCGAGTGGTTATGCTATATCTATCACTGAAAAGTGGTAATCGATATAGATAAAATCAAAGTTAAATTTTCATATTTTATCATCCATTTTAAATTTTCAAATTTGCAATAAGTTTATTTCAATAAACAATGTGTTACTGTGGGGAGAAAATTTTATATTTACAGTAAAAATGGTTTGATGACAATATGCATCTCTTTCAACCATTTGATCTGTTCTGTTGACAAAAACTGTTAGGAAAAATTTGGCTCTCGCTGGCGCAGCAGGTGAACCGGGTACGAATCCCAGCGATGGCTGGTCGATACGAATTCCACAACCTGATTGCACCAACCACAGTGCTGACGTGAAATATCCTCAGTGTTGGAAGGATCATGGGTTAGAGTCCCCTTACCTTCAGGCTAACCATGGGAGGTTCTCGTGGTCCTCCATGTAACGCAAATGCGGGTTAGTTCCATCAGAAAGTCCTACACGAAGGCAAGTTTCTCCCAGGACTTGATCAAGGAGTTTCCCTGTCTTCTAGATTAGGTTCAAAATTGCAAGGTTACGGAGTTGAATATTAGTAGTCGTAAATCAACGACTGTTCAACGATGGTTATAAAATTAAATTAAATTAAAATTAAATATATTAAATAAAAATTTAACAAGCACATTGAAGCAATTTAATTAATGATGTGAATCAATCTTAAAAATAATGATATGTAATAAATGATACATAATTAATATTTTAAATTATAGTGCAATTGTAAGTAAGTTAATTTAAATTGCAGCCACATAAAAGCTTACAAGTGCCGCCGCATTAAAGCTTAAAATTATTTTTGTGATGCATTTTTTGCTAACTTTTTCTTGCCTTCGTTTTGTATCCATTCTTTTAATTGCAGTAAACCGTATTGTTTATATGGGACTTTAATTCGTAACTATGCTTTCAGGTAAATTGGGCCTATATGTCTCCTCAATTCTTTCGTCAAGTTTCCTGTTAATCATCAAATACGCTTACATATTTAGTAATTACATTTATCCAATAATGGAGGACAATTCTAGCGCATCATCCGACAGCGACAATGCTCTATTGTCAGCAAAAGATCATAAATCCCATGGTCAAAGTGCCGCCACACAAACTCCAGAATTGCCACGACGAGATAAAAATCCTTCCTCAGAAATTCCAGAAGAAGCGAAAATTCAAGAAAATCCATCATCTATAACAGTATACAAACTTGACACTCAGAAACCAATGTCTGAACTAGAAAATGAAGCCAAAAGTCTAGCCATTCCTGATGTTGTCGTTGAGTACATTAAAGAATCGTACCGTCGACAAGATGAAGATGGGCATGAACAAGGAAACACAAATCTTGCTTTTGAGCCACAAGAACTCATAGTTGTTAGAACTCCATCATGTGTTAGCTTACGGGAAGAAGCTTCCGCAGAAAATGGAATGACACTCACAACTCTTGGCAACAATATCCTGTACCATAGCATGCCAAGGACACTGTCGGGCAAAACAGAAGATCAATCCAGATTACTTTCTGTTGTAGACCCATCTCTCTCTGCTTCAGTTTCTTCGTTGGGATATCCCAGATCAATTCCACCTTCGCCAAACTTCGGATACAGACCACTAGAGAGTGAAACCTCAGCTGTCTATACAATTATCGCTCCAGTTCGTTACGTTAGCAATGGAAGTGATAAAGAAATGGAAGCGAAACTTCTTGCGCAACTACAAGAACAAATGGAAAAAGAAAAAGCCACGTAAGTACTGTTTTCTTTCTATATCAAATGGTTTGATTTGATTTACGTTTTGTTAGTACAAATTTGTTATCATGAATGATGTGGGACGCCAGATGGAGCAATAATAAAGTCAAAATCTGAAATGTAAATTTAGTAGACTTCCTAAATTGACAACTAATATTTCGATACGCTTTATCATAATGATGAGAGGTTTGCTGAATAATTTTTCTTAAACTAATTTTTTAAAGTTTATTCTCTAAATTGGAATTGGGAAATCCAAGAATACGAAGACAATCGATACCCATACATGTGAGCTATGACGTCAGCGCCAGCTACTCTTAAGCAACTAAATGGCGTATTAAAGTTAAGCTAAGTTTTCCTACATAGCTCAGAATGCTAATTAACTTTAAGTGAATTAAATACAGAACCATTTCGCACATCGGATTTGTTGAAACATAGTTCTTTCTCGTCTACTTCTTTTACTCAACTTAGATTTATTATTTGTTTATGTATTTCATTGTAACCGTGATACATTTTGTTTCATAACTGCGATGCATAATAAGTTTGTTTATGTTCTACATAGTTTCGTGTCTGTCTTTGTGTAAATATGTAGTGAAAGAATATAGGCTGTGTTACATAAGGAAATGGATACTTGATGGGCTTGGTTTGCTCGAAATATAATAGAAAGAGGCACCTTCTGTGAACATAAAAACAACATTCCACACTTGCCTTGCACCAAATGCAATCTACAAACATAGGGAAGCAATTACTATTAATATAAACGCAAAATGGGATCTGACTCACATACTTGCTGGTAAAGATTTAAACGGCTAAAATATAAATGTAAACGGAAACTGGTAGTGGAATCCAAAATCAGCCATGCACTTTAGAACTTCCTAACAACAAATTGAAGCAGTTTCTAGACCACAGATATGACGAGGGCTCCTTATATAAGTCCACGTACTGAACACATGATACGAAATGACTTTTACTCTTTCTTTGGACACTAGTGCCCTTTAATGACTTGCAGTGTTCCCCACTTAATAAAGCCACCTTGAATTTGTTCCATAACTGGACGCAAAGAAAACCAATGAAAACCTATATTAAGAAAGTCTATATCTAAACAGTATTTATCAGTTCTGTGTTTGAATCTGTACTTACAATGAGTTACTCTCTTCCTTCTCCGCCTAGACAGGAAAAAAATGTCGAATAAAGAGAAAATGAAGAAAAAGTATCTCAACGAAATAAAGCCACCTCTGATTGTAGGCAAAATATCCGCAATATTTTTATGACTTAAAATATGTTATGTTGCATACCATTTGTCAACTCCAGGAGAACAATAACATCAAGTTTTTTTTGCGGAAAATTTTCCATTCTGCCATAAACTGAAACTGCTTTGCTTTTTGTTTGTAGATATGTCTTTGTTAAATGATGAAACTGGAGATCAAATCCCTATGGGAGTTTACCATTCATGGCATGTATCCTATTATCCAAAACCTTTCACTTTGAAAATTTTGCAACATAAATGAAGGCTTTCTCCTGCTGTAAAGTCTGACTTGGATCAACAATTATCCCTACGTATGCCAATTAATTTTCTTCTAGCATTGTTTCAGGAGTTAGCAGCCTTAATTTGGCGTGGGAGGAAAACCACGTTAAGTTTACCATCATTTATGAGCCTTCACTTTATAGTCCATTCGGGGGACATTTTCTCTTTATTTCCCCATCTATTGTTTAGTTTTATATATCCTACAAGATATTTTTAAATAAAAAAAAATTAGCAGTAGCCCATGTTGAAAACTATCCACAAGATAAAGAAGATTGAAAAAAATATTTCAAATAAACCGGAAAGTTTTGTAAGCTATTAAAACAGCATGAGGAAAAAAAAGAGAATTTCTTCTCCTTTATACCGCGAGATAAAGGCTCATTAATTATGTTTAAAGGCTTCAGCTATGGTGGTAAACTTTACCTAGCCTCTCCCAAAATCTATATAGAGATTGCTCATAATAAAGAAAATCTAGAAATCCATTTATTGCCATTTGCAAAGAGAAATGTTGGCCAAAGGCGGGTCGGATTTTCCAACAGCCTCCCTTTACGTTTAAATATTTCCACAGTGCTAGTTTTAGGATAATAGAATGTATTTCATGAATGTCCTGAACTTTTAGCCATAACGTAGCAGTTTCAATTTGTGGCAGAATTGAAGGTTGCCCATCATTAAAAGCACGGATAATATTGACACTAATGTTCTTTAGGGTTTAGTAAATGTACGTAACACCATATATTTCAAGTCATATATAAACATAACGGATATCAAAGCTATAATCAGAAGTGGCTTTTCCACGGGACACTTTTTCTTTCCTTCTATTTTATTTATTCAATGGTTTTCTCACGTGCCCAGGTGATGCAGGAAATAAGTTAATCTTTGCAAATATGTGTTTAGATATTGACTTTTTTAATATGTATGTTTGGTTTTCATTAGTTTTCTTGGTGTCCAGCCATGGTACAAAATCAAAGTGACTTTATTTAAGTGGGACGCACTGTAATCGCTCAATGTATAGTTAAATGTTTGCTTGATATTACATACTTCCTATATATGCATCAAAAGGGTCAAACTGCTCATAATTTTCCCTATATTGTTGTAGATTTTAATGCAACTTGCCAAAATTAGCAAGCCTGCTGGGTGAAACCAAGCGAATTTAGGGCAGAGGGTGCGTTTCTTGTTGTTCAGTGGCTCCATCTATGGCCAAGAATACGACTTCAGCCACACACACGTCACAGCCCGCTCATAAGGCGGACCCATTCATGCATTCATTCATTCATCCACAGACCGTAATTTTGACCTGAACCAGAGAATGATCAATCTCCAATTCAGTACCCCCAGTAGTATGTTTTGTCATGTGACCCTGCAGTTTTAACGTGTACCAGTCACCATTTTCCCTATTACCAACATATCTGCAGGATTTTTAGAAACATCTAAAACAAACATTAGTTTATCAACATTTCTTAGCTCCATTATATTGTCTAAAATAATTAGTAACCATAGTCATAGTAAAAACAAAGTGCAAATGTGTTTATAATCTTTCCGTAGATTAAATAAAAGGCAATTTATTTTACCTACATGCAATTAAATTAAAAGATGGTTTTGCTCTAATATATAAAAAAAATAGCTAAATTCATGGGGTTATAAATAAATGAAACTTAGAATTAGTTGGGTTATATATAAATGAATCATGGAATTAGTTAATAAATGTATCAAATAATATTTTCGTACAACATTAAAAAAGAATTCTGCGTTGCTTAATTATTTAAAAAAAATTTTGATTGTTAAAATAAATTAAAAATCCATATCCTATTCATTTGTAAATGGCCATAAGAACTCCCATTCTTATTAGCCATTTAACATCGTTTATTGAAGATAAATATTATATTGTAAGACGATTTTCCTTTTATTTAATTCATTAAACATAGGCTTTCAAATTTATTGAAACTTGAAGACATTTAAACGGACGATTGAAAAGTAAACAAGTTCGATTTCATCAAGGCTTTCTTTCCTTGTAGCGTTAGTGACACACGTGTCTCTGACGCGGTCAGGTCAGTAGAAAGAAAAGAGGTCAGTAAAAAAAGTGTAGCGTTATCAAATGTTTCATTAAAAAAAATAAGAGAAATCTCTTTCCCGTATAGATCTAACAAACTGTCTTGCGAATAAACTTTTAAAATTGTGTCGAACAAAAACTAAGCCATCCTTTGAAGGTTGCTAAAAAAAACCTTGAGCTTCTTTAGGTGAAAAATGTTTTAAAATTTATTAAGTAATAATAGAGATAATATAAAAGAGAGTTGTACCAACACTTAGTATTTTTTACTAATATGTATGTTTATTCCATTATGTTCAGAGTTATGGATCAGATTGCTTTAATTTCCCATAATTTAGATAATGAGTTCAAATTCGATTTTAATCGATCAAATTTTTAGTGGAGTCGATTTAATACTCTTTCTGTAGAATGATAATTTCATAGCATTCTTACTGAAAGTTAGTTAATAAAAAAACTAAAGAAATAAAACTATTTACAAAATATACAGGGAGCCGAAGCTCCTTCAGATATCTTTACCATTTCGTTTTCAAAAAACGAGTGAGCACTTTTTTACTTACTATATGGCTTTTTCTTTTTCAAGTCATGTGATCCACAAATATTCGGACTTCTTTGTTCGATATGATGCCGTAAGAAGTAATCGTAAGACCAGAAAACGATATTAATAAAATCTCAGAATATTTATTAAAATGAATTGTATTTCGGTTTTGAAAAGACATTTTACTTCACTCTATGGATTCATTTTATAAATGAGGATCACATTTCTAAGAATTTTAAGATGATTTATTCGCAAAGGGGCATTTTAAATGGGAAAAAAGAGATTATTAAAAAGTATATAATTATGTATGCATGGGAAAAGTATGTATGCATGTAAGTAATTGCTGGTATTTATCGTCAAAATGTTGTTTATGGAGAATACTGTCTAAGGGCAGTGATTGCCAAACAATTGTCTGTCGCAAGCTATTCGTAGCAGGTGGGGGGCTTTTCCAGCTGATCGTGTAAATGTTCCGGTTGGCTAAACTTAATTCTCCAATAAGCCAAGCTAATAATCCAAATGTAAGATTTTTTTAAAAAATTGGTAGTTCTTTCAATTGGTTGCTCACAGTAGGTTTTAAAAATAGCCCGGTATCTCAGCAATTTTCCACATTCTGCGACCAGTTGTCTGGGGAAAATGGCTATGGACAAATGATGTAATTTGCGACCATTAGATAGGGTAAATGGTTATGAACAAATGACGTTGAAGATTTCTCCCATCAATATCGGATCTGAAAAGATCCACTGCAAGCAAACACCATAATCTCCAATGAATCCATTGTTGATGGACCATTTAACTAAAGTGATTAGTGGAAATCGAACAGTTACTGCTTGCAAAATCTGTGTAACTCTTTGTCTGAGTTAAGAAGCAATACAGACACCTAAAAATTTTCCTAATTCTCGATGTTGTGCTCTAAACGGCACGATTCTTTTCTTAGCATGACTTTCCATTCACTTTAAATGCTCTCACGTGAACTGGCTAAGCTGATCAGTTACACACAGTCTGCGGTCCATTTCTCTTATCATCCGTTATAGCCTAAAACATGACTTTAAAAATCGTTACGTTATTTCATTCGCAGTCACATATATACAGTTTTCATTTAGGCAAACCCAATGAATTTTTTAACTGGTTTATTTTTGAACGTAAAATCATTCGGAGTTTTATTATTTGCATCTATTAATCTTACATAATTATTTCTTAAATAATTCATTTGCTACCGTTTTCCTTGTATTTATAATAAAAGCTTTAAAACCCAGTTTAGCGCAATAACAACTAATGTCAGTAATTAAATAAGGTTATTTAGACATTTAAAAATAATCAAATTCAAAAAAATTAATAAAAACGAACATAAATTATCCCTTATTAAGCTAAATCCATGTAAGCAAATTCCATGTATTAAGCAAATTCCATGTACAAGGTAATATTTTTTAACAATATTAAAAGCTTCTCATGTTAAAATAATGGTAGTCACAGGCTTTATTGCTAAGCAATATAATTAGGGGCTCGGCCCTTTCCTCACTGCGCTTGCTAGCCTCAGGAAATACTCTCGAAGTTCCTTGCAGATTGGTTCGCAATTAGAGCTCGTTTCGGACTATTAAACTAAACTCAGTGGCGCGACAGCCCATAGAGGGCCAAGGCCTACTGCGCCCATCTCAGTTTTCTTGACTTGGGCTCTGGGGTGCAGGAGCATATGTTCCGGTTAGGTGGTCAGCCGAACGCGAAACCCCCAGTGTTTAGTTCCCAAGCATGCTCGGTACTCATTTATTGAACCACTGAAGGGATGAAAGGCTGAGCCAACCTTGCCCGGCCCGAGGATCGAACCCAGGACCTGCGGCAAGGGAGCGAGAAGTGCTACCACTCAGCCACCGGGCGTCTTTCGGACTATTAACCCTTTAAAATCGAGAACCAGAAGAAGAGAAGCGTATAAGTCCTTCCTGGAAAGACACAAGCAGTCTAGTATGCATTCTGCAAAGGCCTGCTGAGCGTGATATTTAGAACAGACTACAAAGATCCTCCGGGCCTCAAAGAACGAGAGACTCTTAGTGTATCCACTTGCCAATCTTGAATATGCCTTTCGTGAGGCTCTGTCACAGGAAAACAAACGAAGAGCCCGGCTCTTTGCCTGTATAATTATTATTCTGTCCAACCTAAAGCTCAGTTTGTTTTGGGAAATTAGTAAGCATATACATTAGTAAGCATGTCTATGCTTATTCGATCTATAAATCAATCATATTGATTTTCATGTCTTGAAATTTGATATGTTTTCTGATATTTTTGTTTTTTTTAGAGCTCGTAAGTTTGAATTCTGCACAGCGCCTATTGAAGTGGAACGTCGACGCCATCGTCTGCAGTGTGTCACAGATACATGTTCCACTATGTTTCTTGTTCCTGGTATTTTCATTGCCATAATCACTCCTATCTCCCTTATTCCTATGTTTATCCTTCCTCTGAAATACATGTTACCACTCATGGCCTTATTTGTGATTTGTGGTATCATTGCTGTTCTATCGTTAGCGGTATCTGGCTTTTTTGGCAATGTCGTATGGCATTACGATGATAAAAAGCAACGTATTCGTCCTCGACTTCACTGTGGAACTGGACCTTTAATGCACTTCTGGGGAAATGGGTTTTATCCTCTAAAAGAAGATAACGAGCTTTTAAAAGGTAGTGAAAAAATTGTGTGATGTTTCATATTCTCATTAATATATAGTATATAAAGTAAGTTTATCAGTGATTAGAACATTCCATTCATTCAAATAATTCTTAGACGCTAATGTAAATCAGTAAATTTAATTCGACTATTTCATTCCAGTTTAACCCGAATTCTGTTATTTCGAATCAAGCAATTTTAATTCATTGCTTGAATAGATTGTTTTGATTCTAATGTATTGTCTTTAATCTTTTTTAGTTAATATTAAAATCGGTTGATTCTATTTGGAGCACTGTAGCAAAATAATTTGTTTATTTGAATTACTTTGACAAGTTGTTAATCAATGATTAGAAGAATCAGTTCATTCAAATTATTTTCAGACACCAATGTGAATCAGCAATAATCAGACACCAATGTGAATCAGAATTAATATCTTGTTTCAAATCAAACAATTTTTACCTACTATTTGAATATATTGTTTTGATACTAATTTAGGGTCATTAATCTTTTTAGTCATATATTGAAACCAGTTGATTCGATTTGGATCACTATAGCAATAATTCGTTTTATTTGAATTATCTTGACTATTTGTTACCCAGCCTTATTATAAGTGTATAGTGTTATAGATTTAAATGGAAATGTAGCGATTAAGCTTTTGATTTATTTCATTTACTATTTTTGTTAGCTGTATTTCATTGCATATTTCATTTTAGTGTGTTATTTATAGTTTTGATTCTGCATATTATTGTATTTTAATAGCCTTTTTTAATTTAAATATATACTGAACAAATTTTTGTGTAAAAACAACAAAAGTATATGTTTACGCGAATGTTGCGTTTTAATCTTATGTATAGATCTCCCATTATGAGTTGGGGTATTAAAAGTGAAATAAAAACAAGGTGGTAAGTTTATTCCAGTGATTATGGGAAAAAGGCAAGGGAAGTCGAAACGAAAAAGAAACGGAGAATAAGAAACCTTATTTGGCGTAATAACGAAAGAAATTAACAAAAAATCTAACCTATTTAAAGAGTTTTTACCTTAGTGAACCAAAAAATCGAAATGGCAAACCAATTTGGAATTCTTGCCAAAATAAATACGCTCATGTTTGGCAAGCTTTAACTTCCCTCACCTGTGAAAAGTGAACTCTTCCTCTAAACTTTCTCAACATCAACTAACTGGCCGTGATTCTATTATAACAATTGGAAGATTCTTAAGGAACAATGAATCTTTAATTGTTTTGTAAGATTTTTGTGACTCTGTGACTTTCATTTATAGGCACTTCTAGAACTGTAAGGTTCAAAGCCTGATCGAAAGCATGACACTCTAAATTCTGTAGACTTTAAAGATAAATATTACAGTGAAATGTGTTTTCTACTTCAATTATACCGAGAATTAAGTTTACTGAAAGTCATGATATCTTTATTTTAATTTTATAAAGCATTTCATCAGGTTTTCTAAGATCGTTTTGACAGTTTTGAAATCATTCAAAATCTAAGGGATAGAGTTCTTCTGTCCAAGATAGCCTATTCAACTTAATTCCTTGTGATGGCGATGTTCGTACATTTCATTCTACATATTCTTTTAATCTTTTCACCTTAAATGTTTTACAGTGTATAATTTTCTTTTATTACGGAGCACAGTAATCGTATGGCAAAAAACAATTGCTGCAAATTAAATATATTTTCTAGAGAATAATAATCTTTCTAGAGATTAATATCTGTAAGGAAGACTAATATAATAAACGCGGTATTTTTTTTTTCAAAAATATGTATTTTGTAATATGTTAAAAATAACAAAATTTAACTTCCTCCCTATCATATCAGTGTAAATTATCTATCGAGGAAAAATCCAGAGAAATTTTTACCTTAATTGCATTTTTTATTTGTACATATAAGGATAAGGGGAAACATATTTTAAATAAGATAACTGAAAATATCTTTATCATCGCAAAATATGGTTTGATCTAATTCGGATATAAATGACAAAGATAAGATGTATGTCTTTAATCTGTCATCCATGATATATCATCGAAATTTTTTCAAATACAGCTACATTAAATGTAATGTAACCATATAAATTTGTTATTGTCAAAATGTGTAAATTATCTGTCTGTTACTGTGTAAATTATCGAATAAATATTTTACAAACATATGCCTTTTCTTTTATGAACCATTTTGGTATTTTGCATTCACAGTATTATTGTATTATTTTTTATTTATCTATCGAACATTGTCTGTGGAAATATATATATCTTCATATATCTGAAATATATCTTTAATGCAAATGATATTCAGAAAACAATATTATTTCAAATTATATTGCATTCAAGGGGCTAAACCCCTTTCCCGCTACCGCTCACTAACCAATCAGATGAATGCTTTGCAATAATTGCTTCTTCACTGTAAGAAATTACAGTTAAAATAATGACAAAAGTACTGGCATCTTGAGTGCAGCAGGAGTAAAATCTATTTTATAATAAAATCCTTTTTTACAGTAAAAATGCATACCGTAGTTTTTGCAGTAATATTAATTTAATTTCTGAGTTTTACAGTAACTCTTACAGCACACACATACACACAAAAATTACGCTTTATCATATATTTTGTTTCATAATATTTTACGGTAAAAAGTAAGGGCACACAGGGTGCCAGTACATTTTACAATAATTTTATCCTTAATATTTTACAGTGTTTGCATAAGACAGTTTTTCCTGCAAAAATTGAAATTATTCACTTTTATAAGTAGAAAAAGGAATTTCGTTTGCTTTTCGTTTCCCACATCCAAACATTTCACTTAGGATTATAATAAGATCTATTAGTGAGCATAAATAATTTTACTTAGTAATCATTTTTAAAATTACATTTGCAATTAAAGATTTATTGTTATAACAAATTTAGAGAGTTCTCAATCGTAATGTAATATTTTCGCTTCCAAACTGGCTTGATATACAGGATGTTTATAAAGTCCCGGACCCATTTTGATGTTTAATAACTCATAAAATAATAAAGATAGATTAAAATTAATAACATAAATGGTTATATAGACTCAAAAAGTTTCATGACCCTTGTCAATGAACTTCCACGTGTGCCCTCTTCGTCGCACGGAGAATATCAAGTCGATAGTCAATTTCACGCCAGGTATCGGCAAGCATGTCGGCATCCACAGAGGCTATTGCGGTTGTAATTCTGGCTTTTAGGTCATCAATGTTCGACACGATCCTCCTGTAAACATCATCCTTTATAAATCTCCAAAGAAAAAAGTTCAACGGCGTTATATCAGGTGATCTGGGTAGCCAAGGAATTGGACCACCTCACCCAATCCATCTTCCTGGAAAATGGTCATTCAAAGAACTACGAACAATGATACCCCAATGAGGTGGTGCACCATCTTGTTGCAAAAAGGCATGTGGCTAAAGCTCTTCTAGTTGGGGAAATGAGAAGGTATCATCGAATACGAAGGTATATGGGTTTATATACAATTTATGCATGCACCACACCAACATGAATCTGATCGTTAAGTTCTTAATAATTTAACGAATGTCTTTAACTATAATTTATAATAGTATATTGTAGTTATTTCCTCTATAAAATAATAATTGTAAAACAGCTAATAAACTTAGACACTCATTTATATAAGTTTATCCAAATTTCGCTTAATAAGAGTCCCTAATATTATAGAATTACGTTAGAATAAGGAGCAACTATTTTAAACTTGTTATTTAGAAAAGATTCAGAACCAATAACGTATTAATAACAGAGTAAAATAAGAAAAATAAATATTACAGGTAAATGTCTTTAAATTAGAGATAACAAATATTTCCTTGTAAAACCATAACTTATATTAATTTTACGTTTATGACCACACAAAAAATATGAATGTCAATGAGAGAAAACTGGACTCTAAAATGTGATTTTCTGCCCAATAAATATGAGGCAACAACAATAAAGAACTGTTTCAGACTATGTCATTAAACTTACTGACTGCGTGATAAAACGGTCTGGCTAAAATATGAGTATTTCTATTCCAGAGATACATCAATACTATTTTCAGTGAGATTAAGGATATTTTTTGAGTTGCATATACTATATAATTTTAAGTAATATTGTAACCATAATGCAGCAATATGCACAGCACAAAATACTATTGTTTAAAATTATATTGCATATGCCGCTCAAAGGAAGTAATAATCACCGATTTCTAACTGGAAGAGTTGTTTCAAAAAAGTTGTCTTTCTGATTACTAATCGTTTAAGAACACCAGTGGATTTGGTAGTTACCTGTTCTTTTTTCCGAGAATAATAACCTAATTAAACTCGTTTAATTAAGAATTGTCTTGACTATAAGAGAAATTAAGCAGGTAATAACATATGTGTGGAGCAACTTTTATTTTTGGTAGGCACTTCTAATACGATATAATGAAGTTTCGTTAGATTGTAATGTAACGAAACTTCAAGTCAGTGCCATATTTTAAGAAAATTTATAGTTTCAATCTTTCAACATTCCTTTTTTTTTTACCTACTTTAAACCTCTGACGTAGATGTAGCACCGATGTCTCTTTTATATACATTTCTTTCTTACATTTTGGTAGTTTTTATTATAAAAAAAACAGCTTAATAGTTACTAAAAAAATCTGTTAATTTATAGGAATTATATTTGGAATTAAAATGCAAAAAAAGTAGTTGGAATTTTTTTTGTTGCTTTGTATTCAAAATTATACCATTAATTGATTTTGTAAATTTACGAAACTTCAATGATGAATAACTGTTTCCCTTAGATCTAAATAATTGCAAATTTGAAGAAAAAAAATTGCTAAATCTTTACTATTTTGACAACACTTATATAATTTTCTAAACGAAATAAAATTCTTATAAATAAATGGGCGTTTAAGCTAAGTTAAGGATTTACGCTAAGAACGAAAAAACTTGTTCTTTAAGCAAAAGAAAAAAAATTCTGAGAAATAATAACAAAAGTGTTAATTATGAAAAATAATGCTTTAAATACAGCAGGTACTAAAAGTGTGAAAATGAAATTTAAAGTTCCCATACATGAAATTATTTTGTAACAATAAATTAATGAAACTTTTTTAATACTGTTAAAACAGAACTGCTATAAAACGAGCATCACCTGCATTATCTAAAATTATAAAAAAAAAAATATAAGATAAATAACCAATTCATTTGTTTGAAATAAGTATATCACATTCACCGTTTTTTTCTCACATGTTACGTTCCCAGGAGCACAGCAATTATCTTACTGATAACCAAAACCTCAGAAAAAGAACCCCCGCATTGAAATAAGATGTTAGCTTTTATCTTTTCAAGAAACAAAGTCACAGATAATCATAAATTTCAATGCCACCTGTCAATTTTGAGATTTACGTTCAAAACCCTTTTTGTGATTTAGGCAGGGCACAAGACAGACGCCAATATGAGCATCTGCTTCGTTACGACCCTAATTTTGTCCATTATAATAGCAGTTGTTGAAGGCCACTGTCCAGCAATCAATCCCGATTCCGGTTGCTCTTGTGAAACTTTAATTGATCATGATAAAGATGAGTTTTCCATATTAACTTGCCGAAAAATAAATTCTGAGGAGGCTCTAAAAAGGATTCTAAGAGGTACCAGGTCATACCCGATGTTCGAATTGCAACTTTTCGAAAGCAGTTTAAGGTTTATACCACATGATGCATTTGTTGGAACAAGTTTTGAGGTAAGTTTAGAAATATTTTAGTGTTTGTATTAATGTTCAACATAAATTTTAAATATTAGATTGATGAAAAAGTTTTGGATGGAAAACATGCAGAAAGAAACTAATTTATAACGTATAAGAGGCAATGCATTAAAATGCTTATTTCTAGTTTGAAATGCAGCACTCTTAGTTAAAACGTCTATATTTTGCTCATGTAATAAAATGGCAATTTTTTGTTAAGGAATTACCAATCAAAACATTGTATAAAACCTTATTAATTGGAGATGGTTAGTTTATTTTAAAATTTATCCTATTCTTAAGAAAAGCAGTATAAAGAAAATGATAATTTAACATGACATATATTTTTTGAAAATATTTCATTTAAATAAATTTAAAAATTAAACTAAAAATGAATTTCAGTTTCTTATTTTTTAGTTTTTAACGAAGATAAGATATGCTACGGCTTATTCAGGAAGGAAATTTAGTTATCTTCGGGATCCGAAATTCGGTAAAGTCTCTTCAAATCTTTTTAGTGAACTACGACGTTTACGAAAAAAATAAATTTTTTTTCAACAATAGAAAAAATTATTAGAAATTATAATGATCTTATTGGTTCTTATTATTATAATATTAAATATTGTTTCACTTTTATGACAAAAATAATTAAATAAAATACAAATTTTAAAAACTACATTTTTCTGGATCAAACTCAAAATGAATAATGTGAGTGCATTATTTAAAAAAATGGTGAATAGAATTTTCGGTGGTGATAGAAGTTAGTTATGAGTGTGATAAACCTTATGTTTTTCATTGTATGTGTAACAAAAATTAATTTTTTTATATATATAGTTCAGTAGAGAAACGAGTTTTCGAAATTGTTTTTTTTTTTTCTTTCATTATTTTCTTCTGTAAATCTGCTCGTAATGAAAAATGGTCAAAATTCTGTTTCGATATAAGAGGGTGATAAATTTTATTTGAATACGTAAGAAAATAGTTTTAACTTGCATTGCCATAGAGCAAAATGTTGAATTAAAATTTGAGTGCATAAATTTTTTTAAAAAATTGAGATACTTAAAAAAGGATTACAATTTCAATTGGTGATAAAATGTAATCGGCCAGATAATAATTTAAGCAAGTATTGCCATTATTCATAAATCTTCAAGTAAAATTAAGTGCTTTAAGTAATTAAGTGGTAAGAGCTACGATTGACGATTCCTTTTAACAATCATATTAGAATAAATTGTGCTTGTAGCGATCGGAATTACCATTGACGACTCCTTTAGACGGTGATATTAGAATAAATCGTTCTTGCTGTGATCAGAGTTACGATTGACGATTTCTTTTGACTCTGATAGTACAATAAATTGTTGTTATAGTGATCGGAATTATGACTGTTGATTCTTTTGGTCTCTATTATTACAATAAATTGTTCTTGTGATCCGGAATGAACTAATCTTTCATTGTAAACAACAACAAAAACAGAACTTTAATAGCGATTTAAGTGCTTTAGTCAACTGAAAAGTGGTAAAAGTTTTCCAGCGTCATAAAAATGAAAGGGAGTAAATGAAAATGTACTAAAATTAACAAATGTAAGTTAAAAATATTTAAGAATTACGTTTCTGTAATGGACAAAAATCGATTAATTATAATTTGTTCGAAGGAAAAGCGCTAAATTTTGCTTGTTTCATTTAGGAAATAATTGTCGTTTATGATGACATTAGGCAAACAGTTCAGATCTTAGCAAAATAGATACTCGGAAAAAAATCAAAATTTTAATTGACAATAATTTTAATTTTGTGATAAAAGGGTGGCACAAATTTGGTTAAAAAAACATAGAAACAGCTGAACTTTTATCATTTTAGTCAGTCGAAAGGTGTAAAAAATTTTGTTTGACGTTAAATTTGTTTTTTAAATGATATGGCGATATCAAATTTGCTAAGGACGCCAAATTCAGTGATCTAGAAACGATTGAAAATTGTTTTATCATTCAGTTGCAATTTACAGTTAAGTTTAAGTTACAATTTAAACCCTCCAGTTAGTTCGAAAGCTGTAAGAATTTCAATTAACTGAAATACTATTTGGCGATAATACAGCAATAAAATTTCTTGTGGTTTGGAAACTAGTGAATTTTCATCGTACACAAGGCTTCAGTTGAAATTTGATCATTTATCTTATCGAAATTTCTATTGAGAACAATTTTTATTTGGTGATAATATGACAATAAATTCTGCTGGTCGTGGTCATAAAATAATCTAAAATTGAATTGCAGTCAAGCGCAGAAGTGAAGTTATAATTTTAACCATTTAGTTGGTCCGAATTCCAGTGAGAAATCAACCTGACAGAAACAACTAATGAGAAAGCAACCAATGGGAAAGAGTGTTCTCAAACACAGAGTTTCAGTTAGAATTTTACTACTCTAATTAGTCCTAAAATAAAATAGTCGGAGTCTAAATTAAGGAAAAATACCTTTTAGTGATGCTCTGTAGCTAAATTTTGATTGTTGTGATCGAAAAATGATCGACATTTGCATTATCATAACTCACGAAGCTACAGTCGATAGTTAAATCCACTAACTTGTAAAATAATGGTCGAAATTTCTATTATAATATTTCATTGTCACACACCCGAAAGTGAGTTAATAAAACGTAGTAGAATAGATTTTATCAGTCAAATTTGATTCTTGAATCAAGCTAATTGAATTTTCGTTTGTTGTTATTTTTATTTATGTAAATATTTTTTAAATATATTCTCTGTTATTTTCTATAGTTAATTATGTTCCGGCAATAAACTATAGAATTGATATTTTTTCAATGAGACTCAATAAACTCATTTTTATTAAAGTTTCTTTTCTAAAAATTAAAAATTAGCAACATAAATGTAAAATTTATAAAAAAAATAATAATTATCTTTTAAAAATATTTTCAGCAGCTTATAGTTAAAAAAACACTTTTCCAAACAGGTTCTGAGCATTAGAAATTCCAGTATCAGCTCCTTAAGTGATACAGACATCGCCTTTGAGGGTTTAGAAAAACAGCTCCATTTAATAGAAATCATCAACTGCAGTTACACCAGCAACTTTGACTGGACTCATCTCTCGAATCTGGTTCATCTCATGGAGATTCATATCAGTGATTCGGAACTAATAGACATCACTGAAGGCATTTCCAGAGTCCAGCACATTGATGTTGAATCATTCGCCTTTCAAAATAACCACATTCAAGTACTGGCTGAAAGAGCTTTCGCTCCTTTCACCAACCTAAAGAGATTGGCTCTTGATAATAATCATATCAATAGATTATCTAGATCAATGTTTCCAAGACCAGCTAAAGAGTTAAAGATCCTTGGACTAAGGTAAAAAATGAATTTTTATTTCTCTCCAGTGAAGCAAGTAAATAGACACTCTACTTTTCTTGTTATTTGCCACTAATCTACCTAAAACTTTAAGAGAACAGCGTGCAGAAGATTTAAACCTGATTCCCAATAAGGTGTCAAGTTTAAACATAGGGTAGGTCAGATGATCGAGATCTAAATAGATTGTGTTGATCTATGTTTTCTATACCAACTGAAGTAGGGGGTCAACAACTTTATGTTTTAGTGAGCCACAGCAGTAAATTTGAGAAATCGCAGCAGTAACACGTACTAATTTTATTTCAAAAACTCTGTAAGATAGATTTTTTTTAAAAAAATCCCTTAAAACTTTTGTCTTAACGCACGGTTTTACAGATGCTAAAACAATTCGATGTCAGTTTATCTAATTGATAATATTTTCTTGGAATATGCCATTTATTGAACTACTTGGATGTATTGAAGTTTAGATAATTATAAGAAAAACGATTTCATTAATCACAAATTTGGCATCTAAGGTATGATCTAAGGTCGAGTAAATGCAAGCTTTCTTAATAAAAACTTTAAAATGAGTTGGAAACTTTTAGTCATTGATGGTATTTACAAAAGGGTTTAACGCAATAAGCCGCATATAAGGGAACATTTTTCCTTTTAATGGCTGATGGATAGTAAAACTGAAATAGCTGATGGACTGTTTACATGTGGAATAGGTCAATAGTACCATACTTCTTTGTTTTATCAAAATTGATTATAAGATATCAGTATCAGAAAGACTACTTAAATTCAAAAATTACATACATGCATATCATAGAGTTCAATAAAGTAGGTCTAAGTAACAAGAAATACAAATAACAGAAAGATAAAAAAAGATATCCTTAAAACAGATATCCTAAAATGCAATGTACACAAATTTGTAGGTAATATCATAATATAAGATATGATTATTTTTTAAATGTTCGTTCTGATTTCAAAATTCAGAGTTTTTAGAATATCATTCAGATTTTCTTTTTATTTATTTGGAATTTTCCATCAATAAAAACATTTAATAGAAGTCTATTTCTTATTCCGGCATATTCTTCTTATGGGGCCTACTTGTTTTATGGAAATGCATTAAAAAATGGATTGAAAATAGAATTTAATCTTATACGAAACTCCAACTTTTCATTTTGTGCTCTTGTAAAAATGATATAATACGCACTTAAACAGCATAGCATAAAATGGAAAACGTGAATCACATAGCATCAATAGAAAAATTCGAAATATAATGACAGGAAAAATCATAATACTAGCTAACATAACATTACACTACGTAACATGAAATGAACCGAAATCATTCTGAATCCCCATAATTAAAATTTTATGTATTTATTTTGCAGTTATAACAATCTTCGAGAATTGCCAGAAGATCTATTTGTGGATATGTCAGGTCTTCGCTCCTTATATCTCACTGGCAATCCTCTATATACAATCAGACAACCTGTATTCCAGCCTATATGGAATCAAATAAATCTACTTCTATTCTATGGTAAAAATCATTTTCTCATATTTTATTCGAAAAACCATAACTCCTTTTTTATATATATACACCGAAGAGCCATTACATTATGACCACCCTACTAATAACATGAAGGACCACCTTTAGCCCTCAAAACTGCTAGCACCCGCCGTGGCATTGATTCCACAAGGTGCAGATAGGTAGTCTGAGGTATCTGGTACAAAGCGCTCACCAACTGGTCCTGCAATTCCCTCACATTACGAAGGGGTAGCGTGGCAGCACGAATTTGGTTTTCCAAGTAGGACCACAAATGCTCTATTGGATTAAGGTCAGGTGAATTTGGAAGCCATGACATGACTTGAAAGTCACTGGAATGTTCCACGACGATTCGACCCTTAAGACATGGTGCATTATCATGTTGGTAAACACCATCCCTCGCAGGAAAAACTGTTGCCATGAATGGGTGAACCTGGTCTGCAACTATGTTCAAGTAGTTTACAGACGTCAGGGATTGTTCTATGAGGATTATGGGCCCTAATGTGCCCCATGAAAACATTGTTCCTGGGCGAGAAGCCATGATAATCTAGGCGAGTCCATTGTTATAGATGGAGGGTGGTCATAATGTAATGGCTCTTCGGTGTATATATAGTACCCGATATTGTTGCATTATATTGCTGCAAGCAGGATAACATGTAGTTTTTGTTTATTAGCCGTTTACAAGTAAAATAAAGTCAAGCAGGCCTTTCATGCAAAAAAAAAAATTATTTTATTTATTTACTTATTGCAATTATTCTCTTTTCTGTAATTAACTAAGATAGAAAATGGTTGAATTTTTTGCGTATTTAACTAGATACTAGAATTCGGTATATTTATTGTTTACATTTACTTTCTTTCTTTCTTGATTATTTACGTATTTATTTTTTTTATTTATTTACTCACGTATTCATTTATTTACAAAATAATTATTAAGAAAGGTTTGACCCATCACACTAAATCGAGTAGCCCTGTCAAAGAGGAAATCGGGAAGTGGCCCAACGTAAAAAAAAAACACAAGAAAATTTTAAAAAATGTTAAGAAGACTAAAAAGAAATCAAATAATAAAAATGGTTCTAATAGTTCAGTTTACTGATTTAAACTAAATTCATTTCATAAATTCAGTTCAGATATCTTATTTTTTGATCAATTATGGAAGATTTCTGTAGATTAGTTACTTTGACGTCTCATTTGAGCTATTTTGAATACTAACACTTAATTTAATAATTATTTATACTCTTTCATATGTAATTGTACTTGTATATTTCGTACAAAGGCACTTTTATTAATTTATTTCTTTTGATATTTTTGAAAATACGAGTTTAAATCTAGAATAATAAGGAAAATTTACTTTTTGTAAGCCTATTTTGTAATATGCATGTATAACAATATATTTTTTGTATTCTGTTACAGGAACAAATCTCTCTTGTGACTGTAGGTTAGCTTGGTTGTTAAGAGCAGATAATTCAAGAAAATATATACACGCTGCATGCCATGGACCATCAGAATTTGTCGGTCGGGCATTGGCTTCGCTTGATGCTGATCAGCTTTATTGCTAATATTTTATTGCATTAAATTATTTTTATATTGTATTAAATCATTTTCATTTGTTTTTATATTTATTTCATATTTTTTCACAATTTAAATGTAATTATTAAATTCAGATAATGTTGAGTACAAACATCACAGATCATAATTTTGTCCCATATTAAGCATGAATTCTAATGTTAATCTTTAGATTTTTTTTTATTGAGAATGAATAAAATTTTTCATTTAACTGGTTCACATAAATAGAAGCATAACTTCCTTAACTTTAAATTTTTTTTTCTTTTTTGATTAAATTTCTTTCATTCAAAATAGTCAAAAAAATTTTCTTTGTCTGCTATTTAAGGATATTTGTAACTTTGAAAAATTGCCACTTAAGATAAGAACTTCTTTTATCTAGAACAGTGTTTCCCAAAGTGGTGTACGCGTACCCCCAGGGGTACGGGAACAGTTTAGCGGGGGTACGCGTTCTTATGCGAAATATCTTGCAACAAGTGAAAATTTCAAAAAATTTTATTTAAAAATGAAGCTAGCCATGAAAATTTACTATTACGTATTTTTCTGTTGGCTATTTTTGCAGAGTTAACAGTAAATAATTAGTGGTGTCAACAGCCAGTTGTGATTTTTAACTTTCGTGCAATTTTTTAAATCACAGCAAAAACAGTATCATTCTTCTCACTGAAGCTAATAAACTTATTAACGAAACTTTGTACCAAAAAAGAAAAATAAACATATTTTTTTAAAAAAAATACATTCATTTTTCTATTAGTGGTACACAGAGTTACGAAAAACTTGGAAAGGGTACAAAAAAGTCTTAAGTTTGTGAAACACTGATGAATAATTAAAAACTTTCATTTATTAAATTTAAGGTAATACTTAACCTCTTTAAAAGTGTGACAATTTAATTTAAATTTCCTTTATTCGCAATAATTAAGCATTTCCCCTCCGTCCGAAGACTCCCCGTGTAGTAAATGGTGACTGGTGCATGTTAAATCTGTCGGGTCACGAAGTCCACCATGTTTCCATACCAAATCATATCTCTGGAGATACTGAATTTGAGATTGATCTTTCTCTGGTTCAGGTCAAAGTTACGATCTGTAGCTGAATGAATAGATGTATGAACGGTCCACCCTGTGAACGGGTTGTGCCGTATGTGTGTGGCAGAAGTAGAATTCTTGGCCATAGATTGCGCCACTGCGAAACAAGAATAAGTTCACTCCTTTTGCCTTAATGGCATGCGACAATAACAACTAAGCATTTTAACATTTATGTTTCACTCGAGGGAAATCGCAACTTTTTAGGCCTCAAAAATTGTCTTTTTGGGTTTAAAAAAATTTACCAATAGCTTACCTTCAGAGTAAATAAAAATATATTTACTTGATACATGTATTTGAAATATATGATAGTTTAAATAAATGCATGATAGCTCCGAAGTTGCATTAGAACAAAACAAATTTATTTAAATTAGTTTGCAGCTCGTTAACTTCCTATATGTTTTTCACTCTACGATACCTATAAACATTTTCTTTTTCCGGTGATGAGTTTAGCAAGTAGTAGTAAAATGACAACTGAATTATAATTGGAGGTCTACAAATGACGTCATCGCAGATAAATCGTAGCGTTTTTCGATACGAAAGTCAATCAGGTTGTACCAGACTGTATTGATCTGCCATAAAATATTTTGATTGCTAAACACCATTATAAAATATTACATAGGGTAAATAAAAATTTTTGAATTCAAAAAAAAACTCTTTTATTAATAGCAAAAGAAAATTTTTTTTTAATTTATAATTAAAAATTGCTTTTATTTTTAAAAAAATTAAGAATAAACTTTTGAGAAAATCGATTATACGTTTTGTCATTCCTTTTAATGAATAATTCAATGTTGAACTGCAGCGGGTCTGAAAGGCATCGTTTAATAGAAGCCAAAATAAATTGCATGGGAAGCCTCCTTTTAAGTTAAATTACTAGTTTGTTACCATACTTCAGCCATGATTACTGAATAATTCGGTCCTTTATAGCTTCAATTTACCAAAGACATATCGAAATGAAAGAGGCAGCATTGAAAAAGTTTTGGAATCCATCTCGCGAGATCGAAAACCTGCAATGCGTGACAACTATAGTTGTTATAGCAATTCTCAGTTCAAGGCTTGTATGTCACGCTTTGCTCCTCAAGTTATGCCATATAGCGAAAGGTTTGAATATTTTAAAAAGGCCATACCTCCTTAATGAAGTGTTATAGGTAAACCAGCCCAATAATCAAATCGTTATCGTCGTAGTGTAATTCGAAGCCCCTTCGCAGTGCGATTTGGTCTTTTACAATCCAGAATAAACCAATGATCGTGATACAAGGCCTGACCGTAAATAAATTAGATGAAATCCCCACTGAAAAATACTTCGTATTTCGCAGAGATGGTTTCGATTAAAGCTTTGTCGCACACAGTAAAAAATTCCGAATCATTTTGAGTGCTTTATCCATAGAATCCATTTTACCGTAAAATCCATTTTACCTTAAAGTTCATTTTTACCGTAAAATATTATACCGTAATTTTTACTATAAATATTATACCGTAAAATATTATACCGTACAAATATAAAATTGTATTGTAAAATATTATACCGTACAAATATAAAACCGTATTGTAAAATATTATAACGTAATTTATTTGTTTAATTAGAATTGTTCAGTAATTTTACTATAATTATTACTGTATCAAGTACAGTATATCAGATTATTTGCACCGGAATTTGATCCGGAATTTTTTACGGTGTAGACTCCATAAAAAGGATATTGCATCCCACGCAAACCATTTCGTAATCGAAATACGTTTCCATACGATTGCTTACTCAATGTGCCTGCATTCCGAGTGTGGTATCATATAATTTGGCTATTACTTACTGTTTCGGGCTTGGACTTTTTGGCTCCCGTCAGATCTTATTTCGGGTCTCCGTTTCTTCATAAGTATTGTTGCTCTATGCCATAATTTCACTTACTCCATTCTCCTGAACCTACCGCTGCAAAGAATCTTCATAATTTTTGACATTTCTGCCATTGGATCTGGCACAAATAGTCTTGTTTCAGTCAGCACAATATTAGATTTTTACGAAACGTTAACGGCTTGATGACACATTATGTATGTTTATCAACTTGCAGTTGTAGCTTTAGCAAGTGGAAATGAAATTGAAATATAATTATTGCCCTCTTGTGACCCACGTTGTGGACTAACTTTATCTTCCTTTATCTAAACATTAGTTTACGATGCTCAATAATTAGATTTCCTCTACATTATTTTTAACAATGATTCTGAAAATATACGCTAAGCGTGGTGGTTATAGAACGATTCGAATATTAATGTTGCCAAGTGTGCAAATGCAACTGGAAAAACTTTTAAGACACTTAAAATCCATAAATTTCAAACAATTTCTCGTTAGTGTTCTAATTTTGCAAACTATTTATTTCATTAAAAATGCACCGTTATGCAGGAACTTAGGAATTTATTGCGTTATTAAGTTTTTATTCTTATTTTTATATATATTTAGTTTTAACTTTAGTAACGTTTCTGATGAGTGAGAAAAATTTCCAATTGAAAACAAACCTTTGCACACAGCAGAACTCTTCGTCTAGGGTGTGAGAATGAGTAGAACTTGGTGATTTATTCAAGATAAAAATTCTAGTTTTTTTGTAATTTATTGCATAAAAATAGACAAAATAATAATTTCATATATTATTACCTTAATTAAAAAAAAATATTTGTAAACACAAAGATATTCAATCAAATTTTCTGGTGACGATACGGGCAACTTAAGTAGAATAAATTAAATTTATCATTTAAAATTTATCAGCAAACGTTTATTCCGAATGACCTTTGCAAACTTAAATGCTATATGTTAATCTTCTCACACAAAGAGCATGAAAAATGCAAACTTTGAACTTGTTATCATCAAGCTGTCATCGAAGTATAGAAAAGAAAAATCATTTGTTTCAAAAATTTATTTTTCTAGTAGACAAGGGAGATTTCAAGCGAATTCAACACTTATGCGATCTGTAGGAAATATGGGGAAGCAACATATAATTTTTCTGGAACTAGTATTTTTCGGGTTAACTTTTGTTTACGGAGGGTGTCCATCTGCTTATAAAATTCTACCATGCAAGTGTGAAATTGACAGTGAAGGCAAAACTATTATTAACTGCGGAAACATTCAGTTGGAAGAAGATCTTTCAAGTGCAATGTTTGCTATGAAAAACCAAAAAATATATATGTTGCAGCTAGAAAGCTCAAGTTTTATGTTTTTTCCTGATGGATTATTTATGGATCTCAAAGTAGAGGTAATTATTTCCTTTTTAAAATATCCCATAATTTAAATAATGGTCGTTATGTTTACAGGCAATACTAGAGATCAAAAAGTTACCTTTTCGAGTTTTAAACTTTCACAAATTGCCTAAATCTAGATAGATTTATGACTTTTTTTTATTTTTGTAATTGCCATTACGATAATAAATAAAGATAAAAATGAGAATCGTTCGATATTTGTGAAAGTATTTGAAAACACACAACGTTCTAATGTTAAAATATAATAGAATTCCATATAGATAAAAATCGAACATAATTTTTTTTGAATATATACACTAAAGTTTTATAATAGATTTTTATAATAGGAAAAGATCTTGATAAAACGGTGACTTCGCAAGTCTCCAAAAAAATAACAATCTTTTCTGGTTTTTACCCCATTAGTTTGGATTTTGTATTAAAACGTATTTTCTATATGGCAAAATACCTTTTTAAGTACAATAGATTAAAAAAACTTTTAGATTGAAAAACTCACCCCTAAAAGCTGCCCAAAAATATCTATTTTATTTGGTTTTTGTTTTTCGAAAATAATCGAGTTTCGAATTTTTTTACACCACAGGAAAAAATTTCCTCCACATCAAAACAAAAATATATTAAAAAATATATATTAAATTAAGTGCTTTTAAAATCACTTTCGACATTTGCATATTAATATTTTCTAGTCGCTTCAGACGAAATACTGACATCACGAATTCCTATTGAGGAAGCTTTTTTTTTAAATTTTCTGTACAAAATGTAATATTCCACCAAGACATGTTTTCTAAATTTTGTAATATCAACAATTTTTAAGTTTTTTGCAATTTGAAAATTGATTTTAGAGTATTTTTTTTGTTGAGAAAGGGGTGTAAAAAAGATGCGGTATTTCTTTTTTCTTTACAAAAACAATAAATACAAAGACTTAGTAACGGCCGATGCCGCCTTACGTTGAAGCTCCACAATTTTGAAACTAACGGCATGATAGTGGCAACGTGGTTAGTACTGCTTGCTGATATAATTTATTAAAAAACAAACTGGTACCAATCAATCTGAATCTACGTGAGCTTCTACCGTTTCACCATCAGGGATAGAACCCTGAGCCTTCACTGGCAATGGATTGGCTTAATCATTGTGCCATCATCGTTCCTCTTTTCAAAATTCATTTGGTTATTATTAATTGAAGTAACGTGTTGATAAAGGAAGAACACCACTGTGAGTGTGTATAAAAAAGTGTTTTTCTCAATGTATTTCAGGATCACAGAATTAGATATCTGCAAGTGACGTCATCGTAGGTCAATCGTGGTATTTGTCAATTCAGAAATCAATCAGAATCGACACACACGCGTGGCATCCGACAAAATCTGATTCAAATCGCATGGTTAGGCATCTCTTCACTGCTTCTCGAGTTGCAAGCACCCAATTTTTAAAGATTGAATTATTTGATTGTATAAAGATTGAATTAATTGATTATTGAATTATTGAATGTGCTTTTTTACGCATTCACTAAAATATTTCACGATCAAAAAATACGGCTTGGTCAAGCATTCTCTCTTATTTATAACATTCAACTTAACCAAAAGAAGTAGACGTTATCTTCATACTAGAATAAGATAACGAAGGCATAACAGCATGTGATGATGATAGAAATACAATTAAAAAAAAGATATCGAATTTTAAAAAAAGAACAGCCATTTTTGTACTATAGAAAAGAACCAACAGCAGTTCAGAGGCACAGAAAATAAGAGAATAAGAAAATACGAGATACGAAAACAGCATTGAATCTACCAAGTTTCTTAACAAATACTGTACAACGAATTTTAACATTCTCTCTGTCGTTTAAATGTTTAGATGAAACTATTTAATTTTGTATAAATAAAAAAAAATGCTTGAATCATGTGTCAATATCAAAACCAAAATGGTCAATCACGTATCGTCTCTGTAGGATATAGTCATCGATTAGTTAATTCCAGGATATCTCGTTATCTAATACGTCAAAAGCTTCGAAAGGTACATATGGCTTTTGTCACCAAAAATGTTGCAAAATTCACCAATATCGCAAAATTTTCGGTAAGTTTTCAATATTCCCATTCATAATGAATGCTCCTTACTGTTATTGCGTGCTCTTAAAATACATACAATATCCCGGGTAAAATGAGGGTTTTTGAGAAAATAACGTGGTAATAAAAGAAACAATCATAGATTCATTATTTTTCAGACGAAAATATACAAGAAATACATATTTTACCTAAAAGACATTTTTCATATTGAACAGTGTAAGTTGTTGCAAGGAAAATAAACCAATGAGTCGAGAAAGAAACTGGGCGAGATCTATCAAAATGGAAAAGTGCAAAATTTAATAAAAATTGCTGTGGCAACTGAGTTGATTCCCTAATATTTCTGTATTTTTCACCATATGGCATCATGAAAATATTCGTGTCATTTTAATTTTTTTTCATATTTTTTTGCATAATTATACCTTACACTTAATATTCAAATGATTTCAGACTTACACTTATTAGGAAAAATTGATAATTGATGGGCGAACTAGCCAAATTCAATCATACAAAGTGCAATACAAAAAACAATAGAGGGTAAAAAAATAAATCAAATAATTCTTTGTGGCAACTCGCTTAATTTACTAATACATTGTAATTCTTTTGTATTTTATGGCATTAGTACCAAAGTAATTCTTCTTTGAATTTTTGTTTAATTGTCCAGTTTTTTCTTCGACATTATTGAATTTTAACTGTTATTATATTTTCAGGTTTTAAAAATAAAAAATTCTAGCATATTCTCTTTAGGAGAAGGAAATACTGCTTTAACTGGTCTTGAAGATACCCTGGAAGAACTTAGAGTTTCTGACTGTACGTATGTAAACAATTGGGTTTGGTCAGAACTTAGCAAAATGAAATGGCTTCGTACTTTAGAGATATCAGGTTCTAACCTTTTGGAACTACCAAATCTCAACATATCACATCTGCCCATTGAAGAACTGAACTTCAAAAATAACTTCTTTAATGAACTTCCATTCCAGGCATTTAAAAAGTTTACCAAGTTGAAAAGGTTTTCATTTGACTACAACAACATTATAGACATCATGAGATCCATGCTACCGATGCCAGCTAAAAATCTTGAAGCCATCTCCCTAAGGTAAAAAAAAAATATTATTGCAATAATAATTTAAATACATGATTGATCTTACCTTAAAGTTCTTTTAATTTAAATTTTGTGAGTCCTTTTTTTTTTTTTTTTTTTTTTTGACGCACNTTTTTTTTTTTTTTTTTTTTTTTTTTTGGCGAAGGCATGTAAATTCCTTCATTGATTTCTCTATATCTGTACACTAAAGTAAAGCATTCTCGCTTCAGCTCTTTGTTGTCCAAGAGAAATTTTACAATTTTGTAACAAATGGCATAATCGTGACAATATGGTCAGCATTGCCTTTACTTCCCAGACAAGCTTGTGCCCATCGATCTGAAGCTGGGCTGGCCCCCGGTGATCAAACCCCAGTTCTTTACAATGAAGTTCAATGACTTAGTCATTGAGCCATCGCAGCTGTTCCCCACTTTTATTTTGGCAATCCAACTCGTCCCAGAGGTTCTTCATATGATTCAGGCCTGAGCTCTGAGCAGGATAGCGAATTCAGTTAACCCAGCATTCATTCAGCCACTATTTTTCACCGTTACAATTCATAGTGAGCATCAATCCATAAGTCTTCCAAAATGTAAGAAACACACTATCATCCAAAATAGGGCAGAGAAACGGCATGGAGCTTACTATAAATTTGGATCAATGTCCCCGTCCAAACCAAGAGAAACAGCTCCAGGCTATAATTCCACCTTCACTGACATGTTGGGAGCCTATAAATACTTAACGTATTCCTGGTCATCATCAAGATGGACTGTTTTCTCAACAGAATTCAGAAAAAATTTATTCACAAGCACATTTTATTAATATAAAATTTGAATGTAAATCCTATAACTTCAGAAAATTCAATTTGTTAACAAATATAAGTAAACCCTTCTCTAAACATAGTAAACTGTAAACAATTTCTCAAATATTATAAGTAAATAATTTCCAGAATAAAACTTCATATGGTACAACCCCTAAACTCACAAATGAGGTCACTTAAGCTTAGAAATGAGGACCGAAACTTTTCACGCAGAGACCATTTCGAAACTTCAAAACTTCTTGCAAATTTAAATTATAGAATTTAAATTAACGATTAAACATAGGACTTAAAATAAATTAAAAATAAGACTTTCAATAAATTAAAAATAAGACTTTTAACACTACAATGATAAGAATAAACGTTAAATTGAAAGTTTTATTCCTTCTTATGTTGTTAAATTATTATTCTTTTATGTTTTAGTTATAATAAAATTAAAAGGCTGCCTATAAATGCTTTCGACCAAATGCCTGCTTTGAAGTATCTGTACTTGGGAGGAAATCCAATGAAGACTTTAAATGAAGATGTTTTTAAGCCAGTGTGGAATCAATTGAAAATGGCGCTTTTTCACAGTAAGTTCAGTACTATCAAAATAATTAAAAATTTAGAATAAGAGTTTAAAATTTTGAGTGCAAGGTGAAAATTCTAATAAAATAGAAAATATTTCAATTCATTTATTTTCCCGTCAGATAAAAAAATAGGAAATATGAACTGATTGATCTTCCTTTCTAGAAATTCTTACAAACTTCTAAATATTTTTATTTTACTGTTCATTTTATGATACCAATTACGAAATGCTGCTTACTAGAAACAACTAATAAACAAAAATAATTTCTTTTCAAACAATAGAATTTTACAATTTTAATTCTTAGTATCTTAGTTTTGAAATTGGTGTCTAAATTGCCCAAATTTAGTAATAACCATTATTAAGTAACATTAACAATTACACTGAGAAAAAAAAAATGGCCACAACTTCCAGGTTAATGGAAAATTTGCCGTGTTTCTGGCTCTATGGAAACTCCTAAAATATCGGCAAATTTTATCCATGTGCTTTGGTAATGATTTTGGTAAAATTAACAATAAAATATTGTTTTACAATGTGTAATAAAATTTGGTAATTTTATCATACCTTAGAACATGGCAAAAAAACCTCTATAAGGTAAAATTTGCTTTTCAGCTTTGTATTTTTTACTAAATCTGTGGTAATAAGAACTGTAATTTTGAAAACCAGAATTTCCTATGAACGATTACCATATAAACACAAAAACCAAATGAATGGTTTAAATACCGTATAATATAATTTTATTAACCATAATCTTGTTTTTTTAATTTAAATAGCATTACCATACATTTCAGTAATTTTTACAAGAATTTTTTTCGAAGTGTAGGAAATCTGATTTATATTTATGAGTAATTTTTATATACTTACAAGTAAATTTTCACTAGAAACTTTGTTCACTTTTTCAGTCACATTGAAAAGTTAGTAAATCTTTTTACACAATTTCGTATTATTTTAGCCAACTATAATTTTCATTTCTTACTTACCTTACTGATTCGTTTTTTTAATATCAATAATATCAACAGCAAAAATTCATAAGATTCTTCATTTTCATTGAAAATATAGAAATCGAAAAGGAGAATCTTATGTTATATCTTATGCTGAATCTTAAAGGAATATTTCATGTTGTTTCCATTGGTGTTGTTTTGAGTTTGCATTTATTTAAATTAGCTTAGTAATTTTTTAACCAATTTAAGCAAACACTATCTCAAAAAACAATACTATTTATTTCATTAACTAAAAAACCAATCTTTTTTATATTATCTAGATCACATTATGAAATTTGAATTTAAACAGAATATTCACCATAGCTTTTAACCAACCATTAAAATCCATTTATTGAGTTATTATTTAATTAATTAATTTATTGTAATTTTAGGTTGTCCTTTGGTTTGCGACTGTCAGATTCTCTGGATACCAAAATCAAAGCAATCAAAAATGGTTTTGATCGGTGGAACATGTGACTCACCTATGCAATTAAAAGACAAAAGACTTACTCAATTACTCCCTAAACATTTTCCATCATGTTAGTCATAACAGAAAAAATGAAAGATTAAGAAAAAGAAAAACTCTCCTCCGAGTTGGGCCTTAAAAAGCATCTTGACTTTATTTGAGGGATGAGGTTTAAAGATTAAACGAACTTAAAATTTACTATTTATAAAAAATTAGGGTTTAGTCTATTATTTATTTTTTTTAACGGTTGAATCGAATAAACTAAAACCAAACTGATAGAATAACAAATTCGAAGTTATAAGGGTTTATTTATGTATAATGTATGAAAAGATTAATTTTTAGATCGAATTCTGACATTTCTATCCATATATACTTATAGGAATAAATATTTCACTTTTTTATTATACACTGAATTGATTTACTTATTTATCAGTGCATATACATGCAGACTTGTGTGCTGAGTTACAAAAGTACGGCTTATAAGCCTTTGTCAAGTAGAGAAGCAGATGGTAATACACTGAATTGAATGAGACCAAAAACAAGTTAAGATCATATAAATCGTCCTCTTTAAACACAAAAATTAAAATCATGTTGTTCTTATGTATAAAGAATAGAAAGCATTAGATCCTTTTTTAACATTTAATTTTATCGACTTGTTTTTATCTGATTCAGTTCAGTTGTAAAAAAGAACACAAAAAATCTACATTTCGTAAATCCATGGCTTTCTAGGTAGGAATTCAGCTGCAATTTCGCAATTACGATGGACAAATTTGGCCAATAAAAAGCCTGTATTTTTACGTATCGCAAAATGCGATATGTTTAGTGGAATTTTGTGATGTGAATTTTTCGCAGCTATGGCAAAGTTAACAAACAGAAAACTGCATTTCTGAAACTTCCTTCTCATGATGGATATAGAATTGTCAGAAAATCAATAAAATGGACAGAGCGATATTTCGTCTGACGATTGGATGTGGGGGGGGACTTAATAGCTATTTTAGGTTCTATTCTATTTTCTTGCTATACACCGAAGAGCCAATACATTATGACCACCCTACATCTACAACAATGGGCTCGACCAGGTTTTCATGGTTTCTCGCCCAGGAACAATGCTTTCATGGGCACATTAGGATCCATAATCCTCTTAGAACAATCCCTGACGTCTCTAAGCTACTGGAACATAGTTGCAGACCAGGTTCACCCATTCATGGCAACAGTTTCTCCTGCGGGGGATGGTGTTTACCAACAAGATAATGCATCTTGTCATAAGGGTCGAATCGTCATGGATTGGTTCGAGGAATATTCCAGTGATTTTCAAGTCATGTCTTGGCCCCCAAATTCACCTGACCTTAATCCAATAGAGCATTTGTGGTCCTACTTGAAAACCAAATTCGTGCTGCCCCGCTACCCCCTCGCAATGTGAGAGAATTGCAGGACCAGTTGGTAAGCGCTCGGTACCAGTTACCTCAGACTACCTATCAGCACCTTGTAGAATCAATGCCACGGCGGGTGCTAGCAGTTTTGAGGGCTAAAGGTGGTCCAACATGTTATTAGCAGGGTGGTCATTATGTAATGGCTCTTCGGTGTATATCTATAATGTGGTGAAAAATTTAAATACCTCCATAAAGTTCTGTTCTCCATTACCGAAGTAGTGAAGCAGAGGGGGCCCCAAAGGAAAATTTTGCCCCGGGCCCCAATTAGGTTAAGTCGGCCTCTGATTGTGAGGAGTTGTATAAAAATCAAATATCTATTGCAACCCTCACACTTAATTTTATTGAATTTTTTTTAAATCTTTTCACTCTTTCAATCTTCAAAATACATTAAGAATGTAATTTGAAAACCTACCTACAAATAATTTTCAATCCCATAAATGAAAGTATATTTTATTTTACTTTTATTTCATCTAGTTTTTCTTACACAAGATCTGGATAATTTTAGACTCTTTGCCAAAAACGAAGCAGACAAATGTATACTTAAAATGCACCAATTAATACTTAAATGTAAAAAAAGCTATTTAAATCTGATGAATCATTAATGAGGTCATTCCATGTGAAGGATTTATTAAAGGCTTGGATAGAAGTTTAAACATCAGATCAAACTAAAAAGAGGATATAAACGACTATCAGAAACGTTTTTTATCGTTTTTTTTTTTAGAACGCTCTTCTCTTCAGGTGTAATAAAGAAACGCAATCAATGAGTTTGACCCGGCATCCAAACAGCTTTGTACGCCCCTAGTCTGCAAAGAAATATATTTTAAGGGGTAATCCACGGGCGTCATAACTTTTAGAACCTTTGATTGAAAATAATAGAACTGCATGTATATATTTTCATATTTCAATCACTGTAGAAAATGTTGGTGTATAGTTACCACCATTTTTGGTGTTGAGGTCAACGAAAATTATTTACAATGAATGCAGTCACATTTCTATCTACTTTTACAGTGTTATAATTTTATTTCTTTATTCATTTTTTGTTTTTTTTATTTATTGACAACACATATTTCCACGTTCACTAGTATCAATTTGTAGCTTCATTGCAAAAACATTTCGATTATGAAACAAGAACATTTTTATTGACATATCCGTACTTATTCTTTCAAACAATTCTTTATAAAATTTTCTGCTCTATGACTACAGTACCATACTTAATGTATTTAATTTACCTCAAGATTAAAAATGGTGGCAACTATGCGCCCCTAACTATTTCGCAGTGTTCAAACATAAGTTTCATACTCCAAAAGAGAACAATATTTCCGAAACAAATTAGAAATCAGTTGTTATAAGAACTTGTATTTAAAAGTTTCTTATAGACAAAAAAAAATCAACTTTAAATTAAAATAAATTAGAAAAACAAAGTCAGGGCACTTCTAACATTGTGTCTGCATCGCCATTTTTAGCACTGCATTAAACAAAAAGTTAAATCAATCTTGATATTTGAAATTTATCAGTACGTGTAAAGCTTCTCACACAAGAAGGGCATAAAAAACACCTTTACTATTATCTTCTTTTAATTTCTTATCACTAATGCGTTCTCAAAGGAAAATTTACTAATTTCAATCGATTACAGTTTAAACAGGTTTTATGATTCAGAAAAAAACATGGAGACGCGTTTTGTCATTATTTTGATACTAGTGAATTTTAGTACAGCTTTTTGGAATGGAAATAAATGCCCGGATGCTTTCAGCATTCTTCCATGTTCGTGTAAACCTAATAACGAAGGCAAATCTATTATAACATGTGAAAGAGTTGAATGTGGAGAAGAACTTTTATCTGCTGTGATATCTGCAAAAAGAAAAAAAATCTTTATGGTACAGCTGAAAGCTGTAAGTTTTATGTTTTTTCCAAATGAATTATTTAAAGACACTAAAATAAAGGTAAGTATTAAATTTTAAAGCGTTCTTCGTTTTAATTTTAAAGATACTTTTTCCATATTACACGGTAAAAAAATTCTGTATCAAATTACGGTATTAAGTATCGGCAGTTAGGGTGCATCATCCGTAAAATCTATTTTTACCCTAAAATATTATACCGTAAATTTTACTGTAATATTTATTTAATTAAAGTGAGTCAGTGATTTTATTGCAATAATTATTCTAAAAAATTTTTGTTTCGATTTTGTGTCCTGAGAGTCAATATTTTTTACCGTATATTGATCCTGAAATTTTTACAAGGTATTAAAGAGTGTAAAAAAATAACTATGTACATTATAATTTCATAAAAATAAAATGCTACAATTATATTACAAATTTTAATTCAATTTAGAAAATATTACCATAAATTATAATTCAAAATTTTTTCTTAGTACATAATTTTGTACTTTAATTGTTATTTATTAATTTCTCAGTAAAAAATACTTTAAAAAGTTTTAACTGAATTATAATAACTACTTCAAAAAACAAATAAAACTTTTTCTAAACAAATGATTTCGTGTGTGATGCGTATTTCTACTTTTTTGTTTTAAATTTTTGTCTGCGTAAAGTATTATGTACCAAAATATTTTTTGGTTGAAAATTTATATCATCAAAAAGTTATTTATTTCGAAATTTATCCACTCTTTCATACCATTGGACCAATAATTTATCTTGGACAAAATTAACCTCTAGAAAACCATTAAATAATCAACGAAATATTACAAATAATAAATGAGAAATTTTTTTTAAAAAAGTTTGAATAAGAGAGAGTTTTTAATTTAAACATAATAATATTAATTATTAATAATAATAAAATAATATATAAAGTAATGAAATATAAAATATCATTTTTTTGAAATTTGAATTAAAAGATAATTCATTATTTTTACAATAATTCAGTAATAATAATATAAAACAATAAAATATTTAATTATTAATTGGAATATTAATTAAGAATAAGGAACTAAAATTTAATAGTTTATAGCTCGAGTATTCAGGATCAAAATCACACCCAGTTTTAGCACTATTATTATCCAAGTACTACTTTGCACTTTATTTATGTCTTTATCTTATAAATTAGCATTACTAAAAATTAAAATGTTCTTGCCCTTGTAGTTTTGATTATGGCCATGCAACGTTGACCATATTTGATCTGATGCATACTTTTAATCACAATAGAATGATGCATTAGGCTACGCCTTACCACCGTCAGGAGTGAAGCCATAAGACCCGTGTGTCAGTATGAGTCTGTGATCCATCAGCGTCACTATCATTATCTGCACTGATTTATGTCATCCAACATTCACCATATTTGATCTGATGCATACTTTTAATCACAATAGAATGATGCATTAGGCTATGCCTTACCACCGTCAGGAGTGAAGCCATAAGACCCGTGTGTCAGTATGAGTCTGTGATCTATCAGCGTCACTATCATTATCTGCACTGATTTATGTCATACAACATTGACCATATTTGATCTGATGCATACTTTTAATCACAATAGAATGGTGCATTAGGCTACGCCTTACCACCGTCAGGAGTGAAGCCATAAGACCAGTGTGTCAGTATGAGTCTGTGATCTATCATCGTCGCTATCATCATCTGCATTGATTTATGAAGATTATCGGCCTCTCTTAGAATCAGTGTTCGAGCAGAAATTGGTTCCATTCAGTGGTAAAATTTATTTTAGAATCATTTATAATTGACACTATTTGGGGTAGCTATCACCTTTTGTCTTAGTAGTCAGAGCATCCGGCAATGGACCAGAAAATTCACGATTTTATCCAAGCAGATACTGAAGAACTCTTCTTACACATTCCTGCACACATTAATTACGTGAAGGGAATAGGCAACAATAGATGATTCAATCAAATAAGAGAACTCACTTATTAACAGGACTATTGTGTTCACTCATGTTCTTTGTTTTCCTTACCATATGGATGGTGTTATCAATACAATTGTAAACAAACACAAATCTTCAGTTCCTTACCTACACAACTTTCGGTTAGGCAGTTTAGAATTGCTTATTGTGCGAAGCGATATTTTCAGACAGATAACTTTGTTTCGAATAAAAGAAATAAATAACATGATTTCTGAGCTCCAATCTGCTGTATTTCATAAAATATTAATAACATAAAGTAATTCTGGTGAATTTGAAGCGAAAACTTGTTTTTGTTATTTATAGACAAATTGTTGGAAAAGATGACATGGTCGCTATATTTTATAATTTTATAACCGTCGTTGAACAGCCGACCCAATTTTTGGTTTACGTACGACTACTAATGTTCAACTTCGTAGCCTTGTAATTTTGAACACAATCCAGAAAAACAGGGGAACTCCTGGATCTAGTGTAGAGAAAAATTCTCCTTCTTGGAGAACTTTTTTGATGGAACTTACCCACATTTGCGTTACAAGGAGAGGAAGACTACGAGAACCTAGCACGGTTAGCCTGATGGCAAAGGAACTCTAACCCATGATCCGTCTATTACTGAGGATATTTCACGTCAGAACTGTGGTTGGTGCAAGCAGGATGGTCTCTACATTTAGAAAGAACTCTCTTTTTTATCAGTTCTGATTTGGATTCTTTTGACTCGTTTATTTATTTTTATATTTATATCCATTTATTCTTGTTGCAAGCGATGCACCCCGCATGCGTTAGTGTTAGTATTAAGTTAGAGTACCAGGACAAAGTTTATTTTTCAAATTATCATTTAAATTTAAATAACGAAATTAGTATATTGTTGAAAAGATAACAAGTGTTTATTACCATTTTTATTCTAATATAATTTTCAGTTTTTATTACTTCTCAAACCACATGTTTACTATTTTTTTCACCATTTATGTTTATTATGAGTACATGTACACTATTTACTGTTTTTACATTATTTACTGAGTTCATTGTTAACATAGTGAGCACGTTGATCCAAATGACCTCAAAATGCAGAGGATACAAAAACTCGGAAATACGGGCAATGAAGGGTCTGCCGCTCTCCTTAATGTAGAAAATGCCGTTACTATAGAATATGTTTTTCTAGAGAAAAGAACATTATATGCTAGTTCACTTCTAGAAAAAAAAATTCAATAATTTTAGAGATTGCGTTCGTTTACACATGGAAAATACTATGATCAGTAAAGTGTGATTTCATTTAAATTCTCAGAACAGTCGTAAAATGTATTTTTAATATCATTCTCTCTGTGTTCAATTTCCAGGTATTAACAATTCACGATTCCAGTATATTCTCTTTAGGAGAAAGCAAGTCTGCTTTTACAGGTCTTGAAGATAGCTTGAAAGCACTGGAAGTTTCAAACTGTAGTTTTGTTAATAACTGGGAATGGTCAGAACTCAGTAAAATGAAAAAGCTTAGTTATTTGAAGATATCAAGTTCTGAGCTCTTTGAACTACCCAACCTTAACATATCTCACCTGCCTATTGAAGATTTAAATTTCAGAGACAACTTCATTAGAAAACTACCATCTCTGGCTTTTAATAAGTTCACCCAGTTGAAGAGACTTACCTTAGATAACAATTATATTAGAAGCGTTGAGAGATCAATGTTGCCTACTCCAGCCAAAAATCTCGAAGCCATCGGTTTAAGGTAAAAAAATAATAATAATTTAAGTTACGCATTTATAGTTTCGTTTTTGCAAATTATATTCCTATTTGTTAATTTTTTTCTCTTGAAATACACAAAGATATTACTAAGCTATACAGGAAATGTCATATTACAACAAAATGTTGATGATTTTACGAAAATCGTTCCTAGAAAAAATTAACTAACACAAACGCTTAATTATTTGTAGAATTACCTGTTTGATGTTACGTAGCTGGTCTTGTAGCTTGTCTTTTGGATTTAGTTCAAAAACAAAGACACGGAGTTGAACATTGGTAGTCGTAAATTGAAAATTCAGTCATCTGTTCAAAGACGGTTATAAAATAAGAATAAAATTATCATCATAATTAAAAGAATTGCTATAATATATATTAAGCATTCAAAAATTATCTTAAGCAATGTATTTTAATAATGTGTTTTTCCCTTCGACATGGAACTCAAACTATACCAAAGTGATGATAGATAAAACATCCTAGAATATATGCAAACTATGGAAGAATGATTAAACATATCAATGCATTGATTTTCGAGCTATTAGCAAATATATTTTAGGCCCAATTTCAATTTTAAATATGGCAAGAAAAACAGCATCTTTAATAAACATTATTACTATCATTAATTAGAATTTATTATAATGTAAGCAACAAATTTTACACTTATTTTTTAATTAACAGTAGCAAAATAGGGATGTGTTTATCGTATTTATGCAAGCATGTTTCATTACTAAGTTCTTTTTCCCTTATTTTTCAAAAACATTGATGGATTTTAGAGAATTTTCTACAATCGGTTTAGCGGAGGGGGGAAGGGATATTGAAATTTATAAACACTAACTCTTAATTAGAATCAAATAATGTTCGTTATTTTCGTAAGTTCCTTATTATGACTGCAGTTTAAATAAAAGTTATCAATAATTTGCATAAATAACTATTTAGAGTAACATCTATTTAGCCTATTTCTTTGCATAAGTTAAATGAAATAAGGAGAAAAGTCATAATTTATTATTCATAAATATTTATAATTTCAGCTATAACAAAATTAAAATGCTGTACACAAACACCTTCGAACAACTACCTGCTTTGAAGTATCTGTACTTGGGAGGAAATCCTATAAAGACTTTAAATGAAGATGTTTTCAGACCAATATGGAGTCAATTACAAATGGCGCTTTTCCAAGGTAAGTTTTATTTACATGAATCAAAAAGTCTAGAATACAAAACAGAAATTTAAAGTAAAAAATACTAAAATTTTTAAAACCACTTAAATCTTCTAATTTATTACAGCTGAAATTACATCTATCTTTAAAGTAAGCATTTGTAAAGTTATTCAAGTTATATGGATGATCCAATTTAATTTGTATTCGGAGAGGTATATAAATTTAACTTGAAAGATCTTCTTTATTCTAGTTAAAAAAGGAACGCTAAGAGTTCCTCTTTTCATTCCCTGGCCCACAACGGACTCTAGCGGGAATGCTTTACTTTTACTTGTAAATAAATATAACATTAATACTTTGTATTATTTCTTTACTTTTACTTTAGATTGTCCTTTGATCTGTGACTGCCGTATAGCATGGATAACCACAGCAAAACAAGCTAGGGTAGTTTTAATGAGTGGAAAGTGCAATTCACCTGAGAACTTTAAAGAAAAAAGAATCACCCAACTACTTCCAGCGCACTTTCAATCTTGTCTGTAAAAAGAATTAAAAAAATTCAGGATTTAATGATAGAGACTGTTATGATTTCCACTATTTTGAACTTCTAAAATAACCGGAAAATAAACTTTGTGTCTTTCACTAAAAGCATCTTTATTATTTTGTCAACTAACTTAGAAAGCACATCTTTTAAAAATAGCATTCTTAGTGTTGGGAGATAGCTAACAAGAATTTGTTTTTCCAAGCCAAAGACAAAATTCTTGATAGACCAACGTGAAGAAGATGGTTACCATCATAACCATTCATCAAAAACCATCTTACTTCTTAATGGTACCATCAAGACTGATCGTCATCCCATTTTAAGAATTGGAACAACTTTCTGTTGGAATACATTAGCAAAACTAACATGGTTCTGTGATTTTGTTTAATGGCCCAACAAAACCAATACTTCATGAACCATCATATTTTAATAGTTTCCAGATTAACATCTCATCAAGAACCATCCCCTTTTTTGATGGAATCATTTAGTCTGACCATCACGATGTTAGGGAATTACTTTTACTGAGAAATCTGACACAACTCATCTGAACACCGGTGATTAGATCTGTCAACACAAGCATATTACAAACCTTGATCATAACTATGAAGATCATAACTATTAGATTATAATCTAATCTCATTAAGATAGACCTTCCACACTTTAATTCATCTGAAAAACTAGAAGCTCCCCATCCCTATCTATCTTACTCAATAGGTGACGCCATTTTTACTACAGAAAAAAGCTCACTTTGATAAATAAAAATTGGGGAGTATTGTAAACAAAACGTCTAAGAAATTAAATTCCTTAAATTCAAAAAATTACGAAAATTCGCAAATTGCCCTTTCTTAAACTAAGATACATAGTCAAAGCTTTACCATATTATATAAATGTTTATTCACGTATATGTGTATTCTCTACCAAATTGACACTTAAAGTTCACTAATAAACACTTTCGTTTTCCGCGCACCTAACCTTTTGCTCTGACTTCCGTGGTCGGTCATTCAGCAGTGAAATGGACATAGAGATCTGGAGAAAATTTCCTTCCAACGCATATCTATGTCTAAATTGGGGAACAGACCTCACAAAATTGTAAAGACATGTTTTCGCATCATTCATAGAGATGTTTCAACGACCGTCGCTAATAGCCCATTTTGCAGCTCTAGTGCGACATAAATAAAGTACCTACCTACCGTTTTCTCTCGCTCGGCTTCAGCGATTTTTCTAGTTTTGTTTCTCACATATTTTTTCTCCATTTTTCGTTAGTAACTTTACGTTTTTTAAGTTAGCAACTTTACGTTTCTTACGTTAGCAACTTTACGTTTTTTGCGTTAGCAATTTCCCTCCTTTCGTTAGAGATATACACTGGTGTGCAAAACTTAAGCAACAAGTGGTTTTTCGGCCACAGCTCCCCAACAAAGTATAAGATAGCCATGAAATTGCAGTATAATATGCACGTAATACAGTAGAAAGATTATTTGTATGCAAATTTTAGAAATAAAACGTCGTAGGTGATGTAAGTGTACGTATACCTTGTGGGTCGGCGCTTGCAGGTCAAAGCTGTGATAAAAGGATGAAGAGCACCGTAGTTAAAGACATTCGCTGCAAGTGCAAGTGATTTGTTTTGTGAAACATGTCTTCAAGAAATCATTTAGACGACTTTACTCGAGGAAGAATGATTGGGAAGCTTGAGGAGGGGCGTACCCTCCTCAAGCTTCCAGTGTCGCTGTGACCAGTGTCGCCAAAGAGTTCGGGATCAACAGCAGTGTTGTTTCTCGTGCTTGGAATGCCTTTAAAACTACTGGTACAGCTGTTTGGAAGGTTGGCGGTGGCCTCCCAAGGAAAACAACGCCAAGAGATGACAGTTACATTGTTCTCCAGGCGAAAAGAAACCGTTTTCAGTCAGCGAGCGGCATATCTCAGCAACTGTGCACAGCCACAGAACGACAAGTATCAAGATTTACAGTGGTCAGACGCCTCCACAAAGGTGACTTATTTGCTAGACGTCCTGAACGCTGCATACCTTTAAAAGTTAGCCATCGGCGGCACCGTTTAGAGTGGTGCAGAGAACGCGAAACCTGGACACCTCATCAATGGAGTCGCGTCCTCTTCACAGATGAGAGTCGTTTTAGTGCAACAAGTGATTCTCAACGTCTGATCATCTGGAGAGAGGTTGGAGCTCGATTTCATCCCAATAACATCGCGGAAAGAGATCGTTACGGTGGTCCTGGAGTTGTCGTCTGGGGTGGCATTATGTTGAACGGGCGGACTGAGCTTCAGATCTTCGACCGAGGCTCTGTAATTGGAGACCGCTACTGCAATGAGGTGATCCTACCCCGTGTGCGTCTGTTCCGAGGGGCCATTGGACCAGACTTCATTTTTATGGATGACAATGCCCGGCCACACCGTGCTGCTAATGTTCAAGAGCTACTGTAAAGTGAAGATATCACATGAATGGATTGGCCAGCTTACTCTCCAGATCTAAATCCCATAGAGCATGTGTGGGATGCATTAGGGAGACGTCTTGCGACGCGACTGGTAACACCCATCAGCTGAAAGATGCGTTAAAGGAGGAATGGAGACGTTTACCCCAAGAACTCCTGGATAATCTGGTGCTTAGCATGGAGAGACGATGCCAAGCAACAATTATAGTAAGGGGAGGGCATATTCCATACTAGGGAACATCTGCCAGTTGTACTTACGCTTTTTCAGGCAATCATGTGTAACGCCACTATATGTCAAATAAAGCCTTTTTTTGTTGCATGCCCTACTTTAAGCTTTATATTCATTTCTGCGCCATTATTCTTTTACCATCGCTTAAGTACAAAATAATGTAAATCATATTCAAATTTCATGTCAATCGGATAATTTCTTGTAGAGTTATGACACAAAGCCCACTTGTTGCTTATGTTTTGCACACCAGTGTACTTTGTTGGGGAGCTGTGGCTGAAAAACCACTTGTTGTTTAAGTTTTGCACACCAGTGTATTTCTAACCTAAAATAGTCTGCGTAGGGACCGAGGGTGTGCGGTATTGGTCCTCGTTAAACTGTGCTACCGTAAAGTGCTCGACTTCGCGCGTAGGTCGTCGGGCTACCGAAGCGGGGGTGCCATCCCCTCCGCAGAGGATCAAAATTGTGATGGCATGTCTTCGGATCATCCTCCGGGATGTTTCCCAGACCGTCGCCAATAGCCCATTGTGCAGCTCTAGTGCGACGTAAATTAACAATAACAACAGCAACAACTAACCTAAAATATGTATTTTCTAACAAATTGATTCTCATTTATTAATATAAGTTTCAAATAATTTCCACATTGTAAAAAATAAAATTTCAAAAGAAAGTATCTTCCTGATGTCCGCTAAACGCGAATAAGATTCGTTATTGATCGAGCTGTTCTGTTTTCATGCAGTTTGGACAATTCACACTGCCTGCGATTCAGGCAACTCCAATCACCATCGTGGGATAATCAAACTGATTGGTGAATTACATTCTCTCGCGAAAAATTCCCTTATCCAATCCTCCTTCTCTTCAAATGGCGATGGGAGATGCGTAAATCATATGCTTTGTTGTTGTAGTAGTTCATTTACGTTGCACTGGAGCTTCACAATGGGCTATTGGCGATTGGAAACATTCCTGAGGATGATCCGAAGACATGCCATCACAATTTTGATTCTTTGCAGAGGAGATGGCATCCAGGCTTCGGTAGCCCGACGACCTGCACGTGAATTCGAAGCACATTACGGTAGAACTGCTTAGCGAGGACCAATACTGCACACCCTCGGTCCATACGCAGACTGATCCAAGTGGTCACAAACCCAGACACTGACCGCAGCAAGTTGATTCTCTCATAAAAACGGCTCTGAGTTTCTGAATAATTCTGCCAGCGATCCATATACCCTAGACATTCGATGAATATTTAGAAACTACATGTAAGATTAACTGATCCTGCATGCATAAATCGCAGTTACTCCAGGATTGCATCAGTGAGAACGCTATTGATTCGTATATGCCATACATAATAGACCACTCACAATGCAATACGAAAGAATCGCATATGCGAATTCATAGCTGTGAGTGAGAAAATGATTAGGAAAGAACATTTTCTCATGAAAAACTCGTTAATCAGACTCCCGCTTGTATTCCCAATTTCGCTTACTTGCCTTTTTTTTTAATGCTACCAGCGAGAATGGCTGCTTAAAAGCTATTTTCACTGCAAATTTTCCCCGCATTTATTGAGAACGGAGCAATAGAAGATTTTCATATTTACGATTCACACACCTCTCAGTAAATATTGAACCTGAGAGGTGAGTCTTTTGCGGAAAAAATATTTTTTCACCTATCAATTTCTTATTTTCCTTCGACGTCTGATGAGTGTGTGAACCGTATTTAGTAAGATTCGGCCTTAAAATGAAAAAAAAAACTCGAAAAACGTTTAAGGAACACAGCTTGTGATTACCCTAGACGTGCAGGTCGTATGTTATTAATGTCGAACTACTTAATGGCGATTGGAGGTGCATGAACTACATGCAAAGTGAACGCTCCTTAAAATAAACAGCCAACCAAATTAATGCAAAAAAAAACGTGATTAAAAATTAAAAAAATATCTGACATATTGTTAACTGTAACTGTCATTTTCTATCCGAAAATGTAAATAAACAAATTTAAGTAAAGCGCGGCGAAAATTTCGAAAACTTAATGTTTTTTTTATTTAGGATTTCTTCACGCATTTCATTTTATGCATTTTCCCTCATGATTTAAACTCTTATGATTACCTGATTTTTGTATATACTGTACATACTATTGAGTAAGCATAAATGCTTTTTGTTATTATAGGAAGCTGTACTCGAATTTTGAATTACCACCCTTCTATTTAATTATTTTTAATTGCTATTAAATGCAAAAGACTATAATTTTGAAATATTGTTAGCTTTTTATTTAATTGTATATAAGTCTTACCATAAAATTTCATTTTGAAACTCATTTTTTTGGGAGGCTGAAATATTAAGTTCATGATAATTGATAGCTAATGTCATCAGATATTCCTATAGACTTTCTAAACTACTGATCGTTATGTAGAATTATTTAAGTTTCTACCTTAGAAATGTACCTATAATAAATATTTGGTAGAAGGAAAAATGTAATCAATTATTGATTCTGTCATAATTTAACAAAGAACAGTATTATATTATATGGTTTGTAACCGTATCAAGTTATATTAGGCAACTTTAGCATAACTTTCGATTTACAATATCTAACATTAATTGATCGTGTTCCCTTACAGAAATTTACTTGAGTAATGCAATTTTAAATAAGCTTAAATTACTCTTTATTTTTAATACAAAGTACTGCTAGTACTAAATTGCAACAGATTTGGAATTAAATTGTTTCATCAGTTAAATTCTGAGTGAACTTTTTTGATTAGATCAATAGCGAAAAAATAAGAATTACCTTTTTTTACATTCATTATTTTTCATTCTGAGCTAAAATTAAATTTGTCCTCAGATAATTTGTTCCTTGCATTTGGTAGTGTGTTTTTTTTTAATGTATTTTTTTCACTGGGAAAAACCTTTATTAATCTGCAGCACAGTAGGGGGAGAAAATAATTCCAAAAAACAAATTATAAGTAAAATAGAGACTTTCTGATAATAGATTTCAGACAGTGCATCTAATGGTACAGCACAAATATTATCTATGAAATAACAAGAAAATATTTTGTAATTGTAGAAGTAAAAGAGTTATATTTGAACGATCCAAATTTCCAATTAGGACTAATCAAATTCCGGCATCAAAGAAAAGCAGCCAGAAAATGCTTGGAATTATTTTCATTTCATAGATCTGCTGAATAGCCAATTTAAGCAGTTTATTTTTTCTGAGGAGTATTTTGTATAAGAAATTGCACCTTGATAAAAAATGTTTAAAAAATTTCACTTTTATAAAAACAATTCCTTTTAATATCATTTTAAAACATATAATTATTTTTCTGCTAATAAGTATGCTCACATTTAGTTGCAATTATTAATCATGCTTGTTCTCTCTTTCAGATGATATCATAATGCCTAATAAATCAAAATCATCAATATCTAATCAAAAGCGTGTTAAAAATGAAAAGGAATCAAAGAAAACGAAATCTATCAGTATTTGTTTTAAACATCATTTTACCAATGAAGAAATCAAAGATCTGCAAGAAAATCTTTTAAAGTGGTATGATAAGGAACAACGTAAATTACCTTGGCGTGACATAGCTAAAACAGAAACTGATGCTAATATTAGAGGCTATGCTGTCTGGGTGTCAGAAATTATGTTGCAACAAACTCAAGTTGCCACTGTTATTCCATATTTTAACAAATGGATGAAGGTATTTCTGATATATTCGTACTAGCATTTATCTTCTTTATTTGTTATATGTTTATTGAAAGTTAATTAAAGGAAGAGGTCCACTCTGTAACATTCTTTAAAATAGGGTAGCAGGAAGAAAAAAAAAGAATTTAGTTTCAGTAGCAATTGTATGGTCAAGTTAAGATAAAATGGAACTCTTATTAGGAAAGGTCCTAAATCAAAAATATTAAATTTCTTTTAATAAAACAAGCGATATATCTTGTATGTATTAGATTTAAGTTGATTAAACAGGAAGTATAATCATTCTGAATGGACTACTTCCTCTTTACCTTATGTGGAAGATACTCTGCAATACTGTTTTTAGAATATATAATTGATTATTATTTTTTTTACTGTTTCTAAATATTGTTTTTAAAATGTATGGACGTGTAAGTAAATTTTTTTATTATGTTGAAAGGGGCAAATAAAAAAAAACAATTTTTTTAGGTATCATTTACTTAAAGAAGTTGTAGTGCAATATTAAAATTAAGTTGACTCTATATACCTAACACAATAACGAACTTTACATAATCTTCATCAAGAGTTTATATGGAACTAAGTGTACTAGTTGTTCTTAGCACAGTTGAACTAAGAGTAAAAATCACTTAATATCAATAATAATCTAAAAGAATAGAATTCATCATGGCAGAAAGTTTTCAGTATTTTTACTGATTTTTATAGTTATTTTTAAGGAGTAAAAGGTGATATTTTTCGTAAAAATTTTTTATACTTAGAGGTATGATTTGCTGCAATTTCAATACCTACTGACAAATTTGTATAATTATGTTTCAGAAGTCTGTCTGTTTTTTTTTTTTTTTTTTTTTTTTTTTTTTTTTTAGAAAGAGGTACCTATTTTAGACATAATTTGTGAAAATTAAAAATTATAATAAAAAATCAATACAAAAACATTTTCAAAAATTGTCACTTTGAAAAAAAATCATTTATGACAAGTAAATTTCTCCCCATATAAAAAAGATAATTTTGCTATTGTAAAATTGTGGGCTTAAAATTGCATCCAATTTTAATTCCATAAAAATCATTGTCTATAGTTTAATTTCAGCTTGAATTTAATAAAAACATGCATTTAACAGTACTAGCACTAAAAGTTATTTTCATTATGAGATTATTTTCGACTTGGTCATACAGAAAAAAGTTTCACAGAGAAAAAAAGTGTTTCATAAAAATAAAGGTCTGATAGAATAAATTTACAATAGTGTTTAAGATAATGTTCGAAATGTTCAGAATAATGTTCGAAATGTTCAGAATAATGTTCGAATTTTAACTTTCTGTAAAGTTTACAAAGAGAAACACTCGTTACATTTTAAAAAACTGAGCAAAAATTAAAAAAGCTCGCTTTGATATAGCGTGAGCGACCGGTAAGGTTTACCATGTTGCAGTATCTGACCAAACATGTGCTACATTTTCGTAAAAGACATCTGGCAAAAAAGTACATCTTTTACCTAGATTGCAACGAGAAAGGGGTTTTTTGTGAGAAACTGCTTTATTAAAAGTATTTTGTGAAACTATCGCTTTTCCTAAAGCTGAATTTGTGAAGGTACTGCTAAACGGTATTAAATATACCCTGGACTGACCCCCGTGTTTGTATAATTTTTTGTTTGAATGAGGTCACACACTCATATGAGTTATTTAAATTTAAGCTAAAATAATTATTATATTTAAGATAAAATAATTTTGTGATTTTCTTTTACAATTTTTTTAAATTACATTTATAAAATGAAAATTTTAAAAAATTTTTCAATTTCAAAATATTATCAAATAAGTATAAAGATTAATTAAATTTATATTTGACAATGTTTCATGTCCAGAACCAGGGTTCTTGATATCAAACAGCAAGAACCCTGGTTCTTCCACCAAACTTTTTACTCATCTGTCAGGGGTCTGTCCAGACCGAATTTACTACCGTTTAGCGGTACCTTCACAAATTCAACTTTAGGAAAAACGGTAGTTTCACAAATTTAATTTTAGTAAAAACGGTAGTTTCACAAAATATTTTTCTTAAAATTTTATTTTTGTATTCCTTAAGAAATGATAAATCCATATTCTTGCCATATTTTTGTGTTAAATTTTGAAATGTAATTTTTAATTTTTCACAAATTATGTCTAAATTTTCACAAAATAGGTACCTCTCAGAAAAACCTAGACAGACCCCTGTCTGTTTTCTGGTCTCCATATTAATCATTTAGGTCAACGTATAAATAAATTTTTATCTTTCTAGAAATGGCCCACTGTGAAACATCTTGCTGCTGGGAAGCTTGAAGAAGTGCTACAAATGTGGGCAGGTCTAGGTTACTATTCTAGGGGAAGGAGACTTCATGAGGGAGCTAAAATTATAATGGAAAAACTTGGTGGCAATATTCCTCAGGTGGTGCCACAGTTGATGAAATCCATTCCAGGTATTGGACAATATTCAGCTTCAGCGATTGCATCTGTTGCATTTCAAAAAAATGTGGGTGTTGTTGATGGTAATGTAATCAGAGTTTTATCCAGAATTAGATTGATTGGTGCAAACGTATCTCATCCAGGTGTCCGTGATCATTTATGGTAATTGCTCATAACTCTTTTTTCAATTCTCCTCTCCCTATATATATTTATATATTCAAATTTCCTCTCCCTATATATATTTATATATTCAAATTTTCAATCGTTAATTAAATACTTTTTATTCATCCACTCAAGTTCAAATACATTTTTTTTAAACTCGTAGTGGATAACACTTGATGTTAATACAGTTTTTTCAAATATTAATTCATTAATTAAATTTAATTAATTTTAGTTTTATATGGGAGAAAAAAATTTCTCTTACCTAAGATATTTAACAGGATATAAATTTAGAAATAAATACTCGTCTCAATAATATCGATTCAATAATATATACATATTTATATTAATTGTAATTATTTAATAAAAAGTAACTAAAATAGGAACTATAGTAGGAATTGACTTAAAATTTTTTATATATATATTACTTGTTCTTTTTTAGATTTTATAAAATTTATAGATTCCCATCATATGAAAACATTTTAAACAAGCCTTGATATTTATTTAAGCTTCAATCATTTGGAGAATCTGAAGGCAAAGAAAGGAGGAGCAGACAGAATAAAAAATTCAGTTTTTACCTGTATGTTTAGTTGAACGTTGATCATCATCTGTATTTAGAGCACTTTACCATACTTGATTTTATTTACAGCATATATACGTTACAATTAACAAAGCAATATTATATTTGAACACTAATTAAATTTTGGAGAAAGAGTATCAGTTCTGATCCAGTTTCCTACTTGTATGAAACCATTTTAAATAGAATTATTGAATTACATTTTTTGGGGGAAATATAATTTAAAATTACTATTAATGTAACTATTAATGTATTACTATTAATGTAATATAAAAACTTCCATTTTAATTTCCTTACTAAATTTTTTCGGGAGCTTGCTAATAAAATATTTTCTATTAAAAAACAAGGAAATTTCACTCAAACCTTAATGGAGGTTAAAACAGTTGTATGTACCCTCAGAATCCTAACTGTGCAAAATACCCTATTAATTGTTTTACCTTTAAATTTATATTTAAAAACTTTTTCTCCCTATTCAACTTATCTTAAAAATGAATGTTTCAAAATTTTTGTTTCCTAATTGTCTTTTATTTGGTTTTTTTTTTTTAAATCTCATTTTACTGATTGCTATAATTAGATTTATGTTTAAGCATATCTCATGAACTATTAAAGATTTTTTCCTTTCTATGAAAATTGTTTAATCTTCAACTTACGAAATTTTCAGGGAGCTTGCAAATAAAATAGTTTCTAATAAAAGACCAGGAGATTTCAATCAAGCCTTAATGGAACTTGGTGCTGTTGTCTGTACGCCTCAAAATCCTAACTGTGCAAAATGTCCTGTTAGTAGTTGCTGTGCTGTTTATTCTTTAGCTGAAAAAAGTATATTTTCATTATTGTATTTTTATCCAATATTTAAGACTGATTTTTCTAAGCTATTGCATGATTTTTTTTGTGTTATATTTAATAATTAATTTTATCTTATTGATTTTGTTTTTAATATTGTAACTTGAAAAATATAATGGTAATTGATTTTGGCATAAAAATTCAGTATGGAGCAAAATTAGGAAATTTTGCTATTAGCCAGTAGCCTGTTGTAGCGTTTTTAACTGAGACCACTGTTTCAGAAATTTCAATTTTTATTTGATTTAAAAATTATTAATATTAATCTTGAAAACACACTTAAATTAATAAAAGAATAAATGCTTGCCTTTGACTTTTGGTAGGTAGTCTTCTGTTACTTATTTTTCAACATTGTGTACACGAAAAATATAGATAGACTCACTATTTTTATTAAAATGAAGATTGCCTTCAAAGATATAAATTTGTGGTTAGATAAACATATTTAAAATTAGTAAAGAGCTCGTATTCTTGACAAGATAGAGTTTTGAAGATTAGTAAAATGAAATAGAAAGTTATACGTAACATCATTAAACAGCACCATGCAGTAACAAAAATAATCAACTTCATATTGAAAGATTACTTGTAAAATATATGCATTTTATAGCAATTAATAATGTTAGTCATTTCTCAAAATATGGTAAACATTACAATGTTCATTTTAAAATGAAGAAATTTTGAGATCGAGCCTGAAATAAAATTATTTTTGGAATATTCATTAGAATTTCATATTTATTAAGAAAAAACAGTAATAAAAGGCACACAGAGTGCATATAAAAAAAATTTAAAAAATGGCGATTGGCATAAATTTTTTTAATTGTTACTACAAAGAATTATTGCAGTTTTTAACCAAAATCTGATGAAATCCCATCACAAACACAGGAAATTACCATTCTTTAAACTCAGATAACAATAAGTAGCCAAGGAATTACAAAGTAAACTAAAACATCTTTTACAGTTATTGATTGTAAAAATTCCAATCAACTTAAAATTAGAATATCATTTTGTGCAAAATGTGGTTTTTCTAACTATTTCTTCTATAAATTTTTTTTCTTACATGTAACCCTGCTAACTGAAATTAAACTTCCTGTATAGATAAATTTTGATTCTTAATTACATGGCAAATAATAAAAGTGGCAACTACATAATTGATGTGACTTTATTAATAAACTATATTGTAGAATAAAATTCTGTTTCTTACAGAGTCTAATGTTTGTCATATTTTCAATCAAAAGGTTTGTTGCTCACTAGTGAAAAAAACTAGAGTATGTTTGTTATAAAAAATTGTTGTATAGCAAAATTTTGGTTTGGAATTTTTTTTAACGTATTCTGGTTAAAGTAAGGAAATTATATATATGAAATTGGTAAGAACTCAGTGAAAACATTTTATTAAATTCATAAGTTATAAATAACAAACATTTTAAATTCTATCTATAGAAACTAAACATCTATGATTTTATTCTTTTAAGGTAAATTAAATGGAACTCTAGATAGTTTTGTTAAAAATAGTTCAGCTAAGAAAAAATCTTCTGATGACATTCCTGATATTGAAAATGGTAAGCATATTTTAACAACTAATTGTTAAGTGTTTTGCATAATTTTCTTATATAGTTTCCAGTTCTGAAAAATTGAAATATACTATCAAGGTTTTTTCTTGCTGTTATCATTTTTTCTACTAAAATGCTGTTTGAAGAAATCTCTTTCTTAAATGCTATAAAACAAAAATAGCAAACATGTGAAAAAGTTTTTGCTTAAATGCCCAGTTTTCGCCTGATTGCTATGATTTCTTTGATTACAGTTTCTTTGATGAATTAGCAAATCAGACAAGATTTGATACTTGACTTTTTTGATTTTCTTAAAATTTTCAAAATGTTTTTTTTAATATTAAATTCAATTCTTTATTTTTTTAAAAAAGCATTTTCTCCTGGTTTTTGGAAAGTCAAAACTGAAGATCCACTGGATTTTTGAGAATTACACATCTATTTGCATGCATAATGACGTTTGATAGAATGAGTGAATCATGATACTGATAAATATTTTTTTTCTACTGCTCCCACATTAAAAAATTAATACTTTCAGTGAACCTTTGTGTCAGAGGTCGAAATTCATTGAAACAGGCTACTTTCTTAAACTTTATCCAATGTTATCTGGATGTGCCAACAAGTGAACCAATAAGATATATATTTCTGTGAATACATACTGCATAAAAAAAGAAACACCCTGAATAACTTTTAATTTGTTTGGATTTTCAAATACTAGGACTCAATCTTAATGGTTCTAGGGATTGAACTCAAAAATGCTGATTAATTAGTGTAGGCGATATTTTAAATTTTAAAAATTGAACACAAAAACATTCTTTCTCTGAATAAACATATTTTTTGCCTATCTAGTTTTTATTCCTTACCCTAATAATATGGTAGCTGCTATTCGAGAAATATGGTCCTATTAATTTGGTGAAGAAAGTGGTCCTAAATTTAGACCTCTTAATTTTACTTTTTCGTTATTCACCATATTTCAAGATTTTTTTAAGCGAATCAAAATTTTTGCACAAAAAGTGGATATCTGGTAGTTGCTGACGAACCTTTTTACAATAGCCATTTGTTGTATTTAGTCGTCCTATGCAAGATGGTGACTGTTAATTTGGTCAATGTCAAATAATTCAAAGTTTATGTTTTTCAATTATATCCTATTTAAATTAATGGGATTTTAAAAGCTATGTAGAAATCAGTGGTAGCAACTGTTAAAAAATAAATGTGAGTTTACTATTGAGTCATTGAGAATTAAGCTACTCAAAAAGATACTACTCAAGATTTAAAATTTAAAATTCATGTTTTATAATGTGGTATTGTAATATCAAGACTTTAAAAAGCATGTAGATACCCATAGAATAACTGCCTAATTTACAAAATTATACTGTAATGTGTTTTTTATTAATCTGATCTTAAAATATTTTAATTTAAAATTTTTTTTTATTCAATTCGCTTTTGTATCATTTGAAAAGTTAATCATAATGTTATTTTATGTTAAAAATTATGATTTTAGGCCATTTCTCAAAATTGTTCTAAAAGGTTTTTTCCTTCTTTCTTTTAGTTGCCGGGTGCAATTTCTGCTTGCCATCTTCAGTGTGGGAACAAAAGTAAATTTAATTGCGTGTTTTTACTGATTTTATGGATATTTCTATTATATTATTAATTATGCATTGCAAAATATGATAACTGGATCTGCATAAAGTGTTCTTTTCATAAAGATTTTGTTTCATTTTATTGTTAGATCATTTCTTTTGGATGAACAGATTATAATTTTTGAAACAGGTTTTTTTTATTACTATGATTGAAATAATTTTAATTTATCACATATGTTGCTATATGTATATAAGTTATTGTATATATGTATATTTTTAAAACCTTTAAACTAAATTATTAATAATTTGCGTGTGTCACCTTCAGTTTATAAACAGATCTCTAATTGAATTTGGATTTCTTAAACTATTTTGACGTCAATATTTTTGTAAACTTTTTATTTTAATGTGTTTTTTATAAATACTACACTTATGTGACAGTTGGGTTGTTATGTCTATTCATTGAACTCTTTTTAAATGAAACAGCATTAATTTAAATTATTAAATAATGTTATAATTTGTAAATAATTTAAAATTTTTTTACCTTTAAATTTATTGTTTAAAATTTATTTCTCCCTATTCAACTATTATTCCCTATTCTATTATTAAAAAGAATGTTTAAAAGTTGTTGTTTTTTTTAATTAATTGGGTTTATTTTTAATTTTATAATAACAGATTACAATAATTGGAATTATCTTCAGATTTGCTTGAAAAAACTTTTTTCTTTCTTTATTAGAGTATATTTTTAACGTTAAACCTTTTTAAAGCTTACGTTGAACTTTTTCTTGTAAGTCATATTTTGCTGTGGGAGAAAAGAATATAGTTTCTCAAACTGTGAAAAATTTGCATGCTATATTGTTTTTTCTTAAATGTAAAAACTTAGAAAATCTGTAATCATTAGGCATTAATTAAAATTATTGATAATTGTTAGTGTTTAATTAAAAATAGAAACTTTTAATCATTTATAGGTATCCAAGTTCATCAGGTTATTGACCTGTAATTAGAACACACTAATATGAGTTACAATAATATGCGTTTGAATTTTTTGAAAATTCATATATATTATTTTGGTTCTGATATTGGAATGTCGTTTTGCTGGATTTTGTTATTGTTCAGAATTATATTATCCTGAACATGGCAAAATCCTTCTTAACCACATTTATCAGATATTTTAAGGTTGACAATTCTATGTGTTTGGTATTTTCTTTTTCTTTCCTTGCAATGTTATTATTATATATTTTTTTAAATATTTTTTTAATATCTTGCAAGAGCTCAAAAGTATCAAAAGTATTTTTCCCATTTCATTAGAGATATGACTATCCAAATTTATATCTTCTAATGTAAGAAGTCATATTGCATGCATTGTTTATAATATCTCTGAAGACCTTTTTAATGGTTGCAAGTTAACTTATCAATGTGTGTGATTTCTTATTAATGAAAAGATGAATTATTCACCTGAAATAAGATGTGTGTGACATATGGAGGTTTGAGTGTTAGGTATTGGAAAAGCAATTTCTACTGAAATTGTTGTGAAGCTAACAATTCCAGAGTGTTTGAGTGTTAGGTATAGGACTAACAATGTTTACTAGAGTTGTCGTGAAGCTAACAATTCCAGAGTGTAAAATCTTTTTGTGACAGAAAACTAATTTGTGAAAATCCATGTCACCTTATGTAGACAAGAAAAATGATACTTGTGTCAATTGTGGAATAGGATTATATTTCTTATAAGTTGAAGTCACTATATAAAGTGGAGATGGATGGACCATATAGTAAAATGACCAAAAAAGGTGAGGTAGATATCGTGTTATACTCCCCGAACTAAAAAAGCGAAGACCAAAAATTACTTGCCATAGAGTTATTTAAAAAGAAATCAAATGCTTTAGTAATGTTTAGAATTGAGATAAAGGATTTTAATAAAAATTGGTTATGTTTAAGTGGCATAATTGAGACCTTATGCTCCCTTAAGGTGTGAAAAATTGAATGAAGAAGACAGCAAACAAATCAATGTGTAATTAATTCTGCTTAGTTTTTAAAAAAACTGCACCGCTTTTTGGGTAACTGAAAGTTATTTCCTTAAACTTTTTTTTTCAATAATCTTTAATCTTTTGAAAATTACTGAAACAAATAAATGTAATTATTGTTAGTTTTTTTAATTTCTTTTATATATTTTAATACCTATTTATCGTCAATAAAATATCTGTAGTTACAACAATTTGGTAATATTATAATGAAAAAAACATTTTTTTTTCACTTTCCTTAAAAAATAATGCATTTATTTATAATTTTTATTAAAAACATGTTTATTAAAAGTAAAATTCAATTTGATTAAAAGCATTCATATACTATCTTGTAAATAAGTACCTCAATTTAAGAGTAAATTGAATTGTGGTTCTCAAAATAAAAATGGCAAATCAAGAATCAGACCTTGAATTTTTTATTAAATACATGATAGTGAAATAATAAATAATAGAAATATACCAGTTTTATTCATTGCACATCAATTGCATAAGAAATATATTTCTATATAATGTTGTCCTAGTTATTGTTAATCTCTTTGTTTTCCTACAATTGTTTTACCTATTTTCATTCTTTCAATGCTAGGATATTTCTTCATCAGATATTTATTTCATCTGTTATAATATAAAATTTGATCTTTAATAAAACATTACAATTAATTCTAATAGTGCATAAATAATAATTGACATTTGAACATTTAATAACACTGATTCTTTTCTCGAATTCAGTAAAAATCTGGCTTTTAGAAAAGTTCCGTCCACATTCCGATAAATATTCCAACTATTAACTCCACGTCTACTAACCTAGAGTCCTTACTGTTAGAATATCTGGCATTTCAAAAATCTTGAAAAAGATAATATGTAACAATGTAGAGCACTGTCTATCGTCAACTCTTTATTTTCACTGATAGCTTATCCCCAACAAAATAAGCACTTGTTAAACATTATGTTTGCAAAAAATGGCTGTCAGAAATAATTTTTTCAGTGTGTGTTGACCATATTATTGTACTTGCTTTGTTAAGTGAATATGTTGCTTATGTATAAAAAACAGCCAGAAAAACATATATATTTATATATATTTATATATATATATATATTTTTGGTCAATAATCCCCTCGAATAATTGCCACACAACAAACAGATTGAAAAAAAATATCAGATTCTTGGTTTACAAATGCTAAATACCATTTTTGTCTGGATCATCGGTTGATAATCTTTGCCTTTTAACCGGTTGAAATACTTTGGTAGCTTTTGCCTCAGGAGGATATGTTATGTAACTTCCATTAGACACAGGGCTACCATCATTGGATGATGAAGATCTAAAAAACATAAAATGAACATTCTAATGAAATGTCTCTTCATAAATTNAGTGTTAGGTTAATCAATCTCACCAATTTTTCTGGTATTTTAAATTCTCTCATTGCCATGATCAGAGCTTTTCTGTTAATACTATCATAGGCGGTTTTAAAGTCAATGAACAGGTTGTGCAAATCAATTCCAAATTCTCTCGTTTTCTCCAATATCTGCCGAATGGTAAAAATTTGCTCAGTAGTTGATCTTCCCCTTCTAAAACCACTTTGATACTCTCCTATTATTCCCTCTGAAAACATAGTAAGTCTATTGAATAAAATATTTGAGAATACCTTATAGCTCGTGCAAAGTAAGTTAATTCCTCGATAGTTTGAGCATTCAAGAACATCTCCCTTTTTATGAATTACACAAGTCAAACTAATTTTCCAATCCTCTGGGATTACTTCCCGTTCCCATATAATTAGTAATAGATCATATATTTTCTTCGCAACCTCCATTCCCCCACCTTTTATTAATTCAGATGGTATGGTGTCAGGGCCAGGAGCTTTATTGTTTTTTAATTTGTCAATTCCCATGATGACCTCTTCCAACGTTGGAGGTGTAACCATTTCTTGGTTATGCATCTGTAAATTGTCTATTGCTATCTCGTCTTCTTCCTCATCACCATTCAACAGATGGTCAAAGTGTTCATTCCATCTGTTCAGCACCTCTTCTCTATCGCTTAAGATCGTTCCTTCCCTGCTTCTGCAAGAGTTTGTTCTTGGCTTGAATTCCTTGCGACCCAAGTTTATTTCTCGAAAGAAAGCTCTGCTTTCCCTTGATCCCCTTAAATGTTCAACATTTTCAAAAAGATCTTCGAAAAATAATCTCTTTTTTTCTTTATGGATCTTCTTCTCTTCTCTTCTTGCTTCTTTATAAGCATTTTCAGCATTTCTTGCATGCCTTGAACTTATCATTCTTTTATAAGCCTCATTCTTTTTATAAGTTGCCATAAAACAATCATTGTCAAACCAGTCCTTTCTTCCGGTTCTCTCGATCTTTTCCACAACCTGGTCTCCTGTTTCGATAAGAGCTCTCTTAATAACATTCCATTCCCTGTTAACATCATCCCTTTCTGAAGAATCATCAGTCACTTCAAGCCTCCTTTCAATTTGTTCCTGGAACTTTTTTCTTGTAGTCTCTTTTTTTAGCTGTTCACCATCATATTTTTTCAGACGTTCTCCGCGAGCTTTACGAATATTTGATATTCTGGCTCTAACCTCTGCCAGAACTAGAAAATGATCGGAATCTATGTTTGCCCCACGATAAGATCTTACGTCCAGTATATCCGATTTGTGTCTTGAATCAATTAAAATATGGTCAATCTGGTTGTAAGTATTTCCATTAGGAGATTTCCAAGTCATTTTATGAATTCTTTTATGTTGGAACATTGTACTTGGTATGACCATATTATGATCTGTAGCAAAATCTATGAGTCTTTTTCCGTTGTCATTTGAAATATCATGAAGACTATACCCTCCAATCACTGGCCTGAACTCTTTTTCCACTCCAATTTTTGCATTTGCATCCCCTAGAAAGATTTTAACGTCATTTTTAGGACATGAATTATATAATCTATGTAGCTCCTCGTAGAAAAGCTCCTTTTCCGCACCATCTTTGTCCTCTGTAGGAGCATGAAAGTTGATAAAACTGTAGTTAAAGAAAATGCCCTTTATCCTTATTTTGCATAGTCTAGGTGTCCTGCAATCAAAATCAATCAGAAGTGGCCTTATTCTCTTACTCAATATGAAACCAGTACCAAACATGTGTTTTTCTCTATCACAGCTATAGACAACTGTATGATTTTTCTTTTCAATTATTCCCTCTCCTGTCCATCGAATTTCTTGCACAGCCAACAAATCAATTCTATAGCTGTCAACTGTTCAATCAGCATTTGCAACCCCTTATTTCTATACAATGATCGAACATTCCACGATCCAATTCTCATATGCCTCAAACCATTTCCAGTCCGTTTCCTTAAAGTCAGCCCGGGTTTATTTTCTACTTGAGATTTCGTAACATGGAGTTTTTTACAGGGTGGGGTTGTTGGCCCCACGCCCAACCCCCAACCTGGAGGACCAGGGTGTTCCTCTTCGTCTGGTGTCTCCCCTCCGACCAGTCCGGCTTGGGTGACCCTGCCAGGAGCCGAAGCTCCCGCCGGCATAGCTCTCGGGATCAACAACACACACAAACCACAACACCACGTTAAGGTGGGAACACCATCGTGTGGATATTCATAATACATCTTTCAAAATTTTGTCATAAAATATACTTATAAGAAAAACCTTTCAATTTTAATATCAAAATTTTTTAGAAATTTTTTTAATTGAGGATTTTCAAAAAGTTGATCTTAAATTTTTTTTATATATATATATATACAGTGGAGCATCGTTTATACGACAATCGCTTACACGACGTTTACATTTATACGACGTTTTAGTGTGGTCCCAAATCATTCCTATTCATTTTAATGTGTCCATTTGCAGCTCTAGTGCGACACAAATTAACAACAACATCATTTTAATGTGAAAATATATAGTTTATACAATGCACAGGAATCGGTTATACTCCGGTTTTTAGATTTTGTTCATGTTTATTTTATTTTTTCTTGTATATTTTAAGAACGGACTGAATTTACCAACATGAATGACACAGAAAAGAGCATGTGTAAATTTAGTACATGATAACATTTAGCACCTGCAAACTACACAAGTGTGCTTCAGCCATTAGATTTGACCGTGATTAGGAATTGAAAATTGCAGTATAGAAATCAGTTAGTTCAACTCGAAAATTCGAAGCATTACAGAGGCTAATCCCAAGAAAATAAGTGTTCTCCAAGCAATGAATATGATTTCGTTTTCATGGTCTCAGGTAACGAAGACATTAATAAAGAACTGTTTTATAACAGCTGGTTTTGCCCATCAAACATCCGATGATAATGGGGGGTGATGACGTAAGCAATGAGGATACGATAATCAATGATGATTGGAATTTGCTCGCAACAGAGACAACTTTTGATGAATACATAGATTGAGATGATAATGTAATAACGTCAGCGATTTGCACTGTTGATGAGCTTATTCAGAACACACAGTCTGAGCCACATAGTGACAGCGAGAATGACGAGGAATGCCAAGAATTTCCGCCATCTTTTCAAGGTGCAATGAATTCCATTGAAACACTAACAACTTATTTTCTTTACCACATTACTGGCAAAAAAACTTTTTAATACCTTGATTCATTGCACAAATCATTAATTACAGCTCAACGTCAATCATCATTTCAAACAACTGTAGATAATTTTTTTTGTAAATTCAACGTGAAATGATAAATAAAATAAATAATAATAATAAATAAATAAAGGTAACGTACAGTCAAATTGCTCACTAATTTTTCTTCTTTTTTTTCTTTAGTTATTTGTTTGTTTTGCTTTGGCTAATTTAGAAATTTATGTAAATCAACACGTTAAACATTAAAATTAACTGAAAACAGAGTTAGTTCCAGTTTTAGAAGTAAAAATCGGATATACGACGTTATTCGGTGGTCCCTTTGGCGTCATATAAACGATGCTCCACTGTATATACATATATATATATTGTTTTTCCAATTTGTAAATTTTCTGCAGGTGATTTCATTACAAAAAAATTTTTGCAGCCCCCAAGTTACAGCTTATCCCCGTAAAGTAGAAAAGAAAAGTGCCAGAGAAGAGAAAGTGAATGTCATTGTGATAAAAAACAAGAATAAGTACTTTGTTGTGAAGAGACCTGAAAAGGGCTTGCTGGCTGGATTGTGGGAGTTTCCTAGTATAGTAATGCCAGAAGTGCCATCTGATTCAATAGACGTGAATGTGTTTATGAAAGAATTGGGCATTCCAAACTGTTTGCTTTCATCTAAACAACATGTTGGTGAAGTATGTTATGTTTTATTCATTCTCATTTCAAATTGAATTCCTGGAATATTTGAAAGATTCAGTGTCAAATTTATCAATCCAAAAGAGAGTAAAGTCCTAGTTCCGAAACCCCGGTTTGGAAACATTGACCATGAGTCGAAAAGTGTATTCTTCATTAATTTTTGACCGTCAGTTTCGTAACTGCGTGTTTCTTAACTCGCAGTTAACTTGCACTCCGGTGGTAGATTTATAGCTTTATTAACAGTGTTTGTTTTCAATTTTCATTGCTATTTTTAAAACAATCTTTCTATTGAAAGAAAAAAAATTGCATTGATTAATTAAATTTGAATCACCCTTTTACTGGACAAATGAAAACAATATTAAGTGTTGTTTTTCTAACTGACGTGTATTGATGGGCAAAAGGATGTTTATTATTATCTAAAAATCTGCTTTTTTTTTTTTGAAGTCTTGTAATTCTTATTTTATTTTTTTAAAAAAAAATTATTTTCAACTTTAATGTCAAGCATAAATGTTTATTGTAGTACATAAACACATATACTATGTAATAGCAATTATATTTTATATACCGTATATTCCGGCGTATAACGCGCACTTTTAATACAAAAAATAACATTGGAATTTACGGGTGCGCGGTATACCCCGAATATAAAAAATTATAGATTAAAAAAATTTAAATTTAGAAAAATATTTTTATTTTAAAGAAATAACATACCTATATACTTCATTGATTTTCGTTAGTACATAAATAGTTCATTATATTCGTCTTCCGTTATTTCTTCAGGCACGTCATCACAATCTGTTTCGTCTTCATCATCTGTGTTACCCTCATCCATGAATAAACAGTCATCTTCTGATCCATCCAGATTATTTGAAATGCTGCATTTTTTAATGATTTTCTAACCATCTCAGGCTTAATTTCATCCCATGCTTTTAATATCCATTCGCACACTGTTTCCAAACTTGCATGATGCATATATCCTCCTTTCTTAAAGGTTTTCTCGCCCTCCAACAACCAAGTGTTCCACTGTTTTTTTTAAATTGGCTTTAAAAGCAGAATTCCAATGGCTGAACTAATGGTGTCAATCCGCCCATAATAACTGCCACATCGGTGTTACATTCTTTCAACAATTTTTTTGGCATTATCTGTAAGGTGGGATCTAAACATGTCCCACACTGAAAGGCTTTCTGGTTTTCTATAGATACTAGACGAGATATTGCACATGTACAATCCAAATTTTCATGCGCGTTATACGAAGAGTATATCTTAAAATTTAAAAAAAGTTATTAGAAATTACGGGTGCGCGTTATACGCCGGGCGCGTTATGCGCCGGAATTTACGGTAAGTATAATGTATTTGTTAAAGAATGAGGCTTAATTGTAATATTGATAATAAAATTCATGCCATCGATTACAAAAATCAGGGAAATTTGATGAAATCAGTCTGGAAAAAAGAAGTATTTTTTTTCTGAGTGTTTGCAGCCACCCTGCTTTTAGATGCTGTAAGGGAAAAAGTTTTCAAGAAAATTCATTATAAAAATCTTTACTATAATATTACTGCTATTCTTTTTTTAACTTTACATTGTAAAGTATATTTAAAACAGATCTTGTTTGCATAAAATATTATACAATGCTTGGTAATTAAAATATGTTAAAAACTTTACTGTATTGTCTATTGTTTTGTATAGTTTTATGATAGTGATTAAAATTGTATTTCTGTGTTTTTATTTTAATTTCTTAGTCAATTTATAATGGTACTCCAGTAAAAAATTCAATTGTTACTTTAACAACCAAATTTTTTTTTAATTTAAAAAATAAATATATTATTTTTTTTAATTATTAAATATATTATTTTTATTTAATTTTATTTTTTAAATATATTATTTTTATCTTTGTATGATAAATAAGACAAAAGCATATTAGATTATTGCTTTGGGATAAAGGTAGTGTCGGTGAAATCATAGTTGATTTTACAAGCAGACATAAGTTAATGCATAGCTGTACTAATGAATTAATTGTTATTTATTAGAAATATTATTTATTAAACCTTCGTAATTTTTGTTCCCTAAAAAGAGAGGAATGGATCATTTAATATTTGAAATCATTGTATTGCAATCTTTAATTTAAACAAAAAATTCTATGCATACTAAAAAATAAAGTGTTTGAAATATTCAAAGAAAATTTTTGATCCCTTAGACAAGTAGGTTTCAAAATGCACTGGCCCTCATAAAATTTTCACTCTGAAGCATTTTCCTCGCAATTTAAAAATTTGTTTATATTTTTAATAAAAAAAGTATTTTATGTATCTGAACAGCAATACTGAATACAAATAATTGGTATGCATAGTATTCAACAGATCCATAAAGCTCTGCCTATCTTATTTATTTATTTTTTTGTTGTTGCCAGATTTTCACCATATGATTAATAAAATTCTTAGCATTGTAAAAATTTGAGCTGGTGAACCATCTGCAAATTGTGCAAAACTAAAATGTATAATCTACTCTACCTTTTTATTTGGTGAAATTATTGTACTTCATTAGGTAAATTATTGTACTTATCCTGGTGTATGAGCTCATCCCCTATTTTTGATTTTGAGACAGCAAGTATCTAGTATGTCAGGTGTATAAATTGGTTATTATTCCTATAATTTGTCATATTAGACACATGGGAAAATGTGGATTCAAATATTGTAAAATCTTTTTAAAAGATGTGGAATTCCCAATTCTTCAAATGGGGATGGAGATAATTTTTTAGATATTTATTTATTTATTAATTTTTTTTGTATGACGCATTGAAGAATGAGATTGGTATAACACTACACTGCTAACATAATTGGATCTGGTCGATTCGATTTCCTTGAACAGGGTTCCCACGGTCCTTGAGAGTCCTTGAATTTTTTTTTTGCTAAATTTAGGTCCTTGAAAGTGCTTGAAAAACGTCTTAGGTCCTTGAAAAACTTGATAGGTCCTTGAATTTGTCCAATACTGCCGACGGCCCTTTTTATAAAAGACCCGCGGATCTTTCTGTTTTGTTCCCGAGCTCTCTCACGTGGTTTTTAACGCCACGGTTTCTAACCGGGCCTAGCGTCTTGGTGTCTGACAAGCGCGCGGAGCACAGCAGACAATGAATGCTTTCGGGGCGAGACTCCACTTCATCTTCTGTCGCATACGTTTAGATCTTCTTTTATCTTATCGAAACTGGAATACTCTCGAATTTCGTAACAATATGTACCTTGTAGTTTTCAATAAATTTGCCGTTTTACCATCCGCACTTGTCCTTACGTTTGCGTCATTTCAAAACTTTATTGTAAAGCGTATTCGCAAAGACACGACTTCGTATTTGTGTTATGTAGTTTAGACTAGTTATGCCTGGGAAGTGCTAATTTAATCCCCAATGGATGGATAATCAAGCTTATAAAGAATGGATTTTATCGATGCCCGAAAAGAAGTTCAGAGCCAAGTGCCGATTATGCATGAAGGAGATCGATATCGCGAAAATGGAAGAATCTGCTCTGAAATCACACATCAAAGAAATATAAAACAAAAAAGCAGTCTGCCTTGAGTTCTCTTTTTCCAAAGACATGAACATCTAATTCATCTGGTGTAAATACTCCTTCAACATCATGTGCCCCATGTGAAACAGAAACTTTAGTGCCCGAGGTTACATTGTCTTCTTATCTGGTCAAAAGGAATGTGCTTTATGCTGAAATTCTCTTGAGTCCGAAGTGCATCACTAGTAATTATTCATGTAACTCCTGTGAAGGTATTAGTAAATTGTTCTCCAAAATGTTTGCTGATAGCTGTATAGCGAGACAATTTTTTTGTAGTGCCACAAAATGAGCCTATTTGGGCTCCTTTGGAGTGGCACTATACTTCAAAGGGATTCTTATAAATGAGCTGAAGAATGTTGATTGCTACACTGTACTCTTTGATGAGACGTTAAATCAGTCTCTACAATCTAAGCAGATGGACATTATGGTAAGGAATTGATAATAAAGTTTGCACTAAGTATCTTACCTCCCAATTTATGGGTCATGGAACTGCAGAAAATATTTTGTCCTCTTTTTACAAATGCATGGATGATGGTTAAAAGCTCTCTAAAATACTTCAATTATCCATGGATGGACCCTATGTCAATTGGAAATTCTATTAGAAGCTTCAGTGTGAATTAAAAGAGAAATATTCCCACCAGGTCATATTCATTGGCAGTTGTGGATTACACATAACGAATAATGCTTTTAAACATGGTGAAAATGGGATATGTTCCTTCTAATTTTTATTTTCAGAAAGAATTGTTGCTGCATAACATTTAGAGAAGGTTGTGTAAATTATGGATGAATAATTTCAGAAACGATGTTTAATAGAGGAGAGGAGGGGGTTATGGAATAGTCATGGAATATGGAATACCTAAGATTTAGCTCTGTCTTTCATGCAGCCTTCACATGGAAATACACAGGATTAAAGGATTTCACCATTAACACCTCATTACCATTAGTTATAGATTGTGCTGAAAATGATTTTGTGAATTAATATGTAAAACCAGTAGGGTTGTTTTTAAAAAAATATAAATTTTAGTCCATAATACATATACTCTCTTCTCTCTATATAGGCAAAGCATTTAGGTATTATATTTGAAATTAATTATTGCCACAACAAGCATTGTTGCTTCTAGTAAAATAGAAGAGAATAATTTTTAAAATTGGTCTTAGATTAAGGTCCTTGAAAATTTTGTTGAGGTCCTTGAAAAGTCCTGAAAAGTCCTTGAATTTCAATCTCATCATAGAGTGGGAACCCTGTTGAATGTTTAAAATTGTAACTTTATGATATGCTTTAAAAGAACTAATTGTGTTATATTTGTTTGAAATAGTCTTGAATAAACTAATTTTTCTTATTCTTAATTTTTCTTGAATGTAATTTTAAGATCTCATTGCTTATAATGTATCAATAAATCAGGATTTACAAATGTACCACTTTCATACCGGTGAATAAGTCGACCCACTGGTGTTCGTAAAATTTAAGGAGTTTGAAAAGTCGACTTGACACCTAGATATGTGGTATTTACTTTTTTTAGAAGTTGAAATAAAGTCTTCTATGTTAAAAATCAGCTGTTTTAAAAATTTAAATTTATTGCTATACAGTTTATTCAAAATGGTTTTTATCCAATGAACTATTCAAAAATCACAAACTTAATGAGCTGAGAAGCAATTCATTAATTAATTCTTTTGATTAAATATTTAGTTGCATGCAAAATTAGTCAAATACATAGTTCTGATTTAAAGATATTAGTCTAAATTTCAATTTGCAACAGAATATTCAATTTTCATATTTATTCTTAGATTGGATCCATGTAAGTTGTAAATCGTGGCATTTTTAAAAAAAAATAGCGGAAGTCATATATCTTAAAATTAAAATATTTCATATATTTATAGACAAACATGTTAAATCATTTTTTTTATTTTATTTACTAAAAGAAAACACAAATATTAAATTCGAAATGGATAAAACTTCTTTGAAAAAAATGTGCTAAGAAGCAGCAGAAATTTCAGAAAAAAGTATCAATAAAAGAAACGAAGGAAATAAAAATATGACCACCGAAGCCGATGTCTTCAGGGGGTACCGGCCCCGGTAGCCATTGAGAGCAAAACCATTTCTAATTGAGGGAGAAGCAAATGCTTAAAATATCTCCCTCAGTACCTCAGTATCATATATCTGAAATTATTTTGAATGTATCTTGTTTTTCCTGGACCTCTATACAAAACCAACGGGGTACTGAGGGAGATATTTTAAGCATTTGCTTCTCCCTCAATTAGAAATGGTTTTGTTTTTAATGGCTACCGGGGCCGGTACCCCCTGAAGACAACGGCTTCGGTGGTCATATTTTTGTTTTTATTTCCTTTGTTTCTTTTATTTTATTGTATTTAGTAATTCCTTTAAATAGTAATTTTATAGTTTAATTTTTAATTGTACATTTTGATCTGTATCATTATAGTTTGTTTGGGTATTGCACCCCTAGGCTAAGTATGAATAAACTTTTGAAGAGATTTTTTATTTTTTTTTATTTAGCTTACTTTGACTTTTTTCACCTTTATTTTTCTTTAGGTTATTCACTTATTTTCTCATATACATACAACATACATTGTAGACTATGTGGTCGTCAATGAGCCCATAAAGCCAAGTACTTCGGAAAGAGAAACAAAATGGATTTCAGAAGAAGATATAAAAACAGAGGCAATATCTACTGCTATGAAAAAAGTGTTTGCTCTTTTTAGGAAACTAGAGGATTCACCCAATAAAAAGGCAAGAATCATTATTTATTTTATTGTTTACTAATTGGTAAACCCTACCTTTTCTGGGTTTAGAAATATAATAAGAATGTATACATTTGCAGTTTTTTTTTTTTTTTTTAAATTTTTAATTTGCTTCCCTAACCTCTCTTTATGGAACATGAAATGAGATAAATGTGAAATTAGATTTTCATATGAAATATGTCTTTATAATTTTATCCTACTTATTTTCTTGTATAAACCATCTAAAAAATTACCCTCTGAATATCACTGTGTGATAAAAAGTATTAGCAAAATAACAAGTCTAAACTCAATAGTTATAGTTAGGTTAAATGAACAATTTCATGAGCAGCCTTTGCCTTAGACAGCAGACAGCCTTAGCACAACAGCCATCTAGTGGTATATTTCTGGACCCTGTCTAGGTTAAATTTACTACCGTTTAGCGGTACTTTCACAAATTCAACTTAAGGAAAAATTTCGCAAAATACTTTTTCTTGAAACTTTATTTTTGTATCCCGTGCCGAACGATAAATCCATATTTTTACCATATTTTTGTATTGAATTTTTAATATAATTTTTAATTTTCACAAAATAGATACCTCTCATAAAAACCTAGACAGACCCCTGTATTTCCAAGTTTATTCTGAGAACAGGTCATATGCAGAATATGGCATGTTTTCGAACTAATTTGAGATTTCACTACACAAAATGTACTATGTCAAATAGGAGGATATGAATTTCTTATATCCTAACTATGTGTCTACGTCAGTTGAACTTAAAAATGCAAGAATCTCAATTTTTTTTTTAAAAAAAAGTGGAGATGATTGGTTTTTGATATCATTGATTCAGTTAGGAAGGTATGAAAAAGTTCTATTTGTTTTAAAAGTGCCACAGCAAATATTACCTCTAAGCACAAGACTTTGAAAAGTTGACAATTTTTTTTAACTACACTTAAGAAAACTTACTTAACAATAATGTAACATAGAAATTTTTGTTGATTCATTCCCAATTGTTCACTATTCCACTCCAGAGTAATATAGGCCAGCAATTATGTTAAATATCAAAAATTGTTTTAATGAAAAATCAAATTTGATGAGTAATAAAAATCTTTTTTTTTTTTTTTACAAATATGGAGCTCCATCAAAATAAAAATTATTCTCCATTTTTCATATACATATGAAAATGAATTACTGAATAATTAATTTTAAGAATGGCCCATAGGGTATGGCTGCAGAGGCAAGCCCCACAGGACACCTCCGTTCATCAAGAAGTCAAAGAATTCCAAATAGAATTGAATTAAAATAGCTAAGATTTATCTACAGATACAATGATTTATACCCAAGGAAAGAAGTGTCATTTCAAAAATGTGATAGAAAAAATTTAGAGGTAAACCAAATTTGGCTAGATACAATAAAGAAAAACTGTGGCAGCAGATAATTCCTGATAGAGGAAATTTTTGGAGACAGCCTTAGCCTGCAACAGACTGTAGAGTTACAGAAGAAAAAGAAAAATTCTAATCATAAAGCTATAAATATTGCTTATAAAAATTATTAAAAAAAATTTTCAGAAGTTGATCAGCTGTCTGTTCAGACAAATTTTATTTCATTTAGGTGTACCTTCATAAATTCATTGTTGTGTACAAAATGTACCTTTATGAAATACTTTTTAAAAAACTCTGTTTTTAATTTCTCTTTTTCACCTTCTAAAATTTTGATTATGTGGTGCTTGTCTGAAAGCTTAAAATTCCTTGTAGTATTGAAAGCATAAGAGAAGCTAGTTTTAAGAGATTGTTTTCCCAAAAGAATTTAATTTATAGAGATTTGTGCTCACAAATGAGGGGACAATCTTTGGATGTGTGTTAAGAATCATAATTTAATTAGACTTGACATCTCTCCAACACAAAATTCTTAAAAAATTTGTTTCTGTATTTAGGAGTGCTGTAAATCAGTAATTATGTGTAAAATGTTTGTAGCGTATCTACCACTACAAGATTACAACTACAATTAACTAGTATATAAGACATGTTAACTCGACTCTATGTCGGGGTACCTTTTCATAGATGACGGTTGACATGGTCGAAAACTACTCGCCCAACAATGGATGAAAAAACTTTTTTAATACAATTAATTGACTAATAATGGTTGAAAAATTTTAACATAAGAAATTCTGGAAATAAAAAATAAAGCAATTTAATCATTTATTTCTATGAGCTTCAAAATACCAAATTATTTAATCAATATTCCTAAAGTAATTTTTATTCCGAGTTTATTCTATCAAAACAATAATAGTTTTAAGAAGAAGAAAAATTTTCCTCTAAACCTGTACAGAATTTCATAATGAAGATAACTTTTAGTGCTGATAATATGAACCACATATTAAAATGAATATAATTGTAAAGATAAGCTATATTTTTTTTTAAGTGTAAAATTGTTGGTCATTCCCAACTAAATATTTTTTGTACAGTTTAAAAGAAATAATGGAACACTTAAAGAATGGAACACATAAATAGTCCTTAAATCTTATGAAATAAAATTATGTTCATGATTAAATTGATTTTTTAATATCTTTAAACTTCATATAATTTTATATCTTTAAGTTTGCTGACATTTCCACAAATTATTTTCAAACTTTCACTTAGGAAAATCTAGACAGATTCATTTTAACATTTCATAGAAAGTTAGAGCACATTTTTTGTTTATTTAAATTAAAAGTTTTCATCTAATTTATTCAGTATTTTTAAAATGTCTTTGTGTTGAATTTTTTATTTTTAAATTTCAATGATAACTGTCCATGGTAATTTCCAAAGCACTTTATTTTGGAATTAAATTTAAGATATTTCTTTTCTCTAATAACTTTTTTATAAAACTCTAAATATGGGTATCTCCAAACTTTAAGTCATGACCAGCAACTTAATTTTATTAATTATTTAATCAGAATCAATGTCTAAATTTAAGTTACATTCTTGAAATTATAACCCAAAGGTAAATAAATTCTAGTTATGCGTTTTTATTTCATTTATTACTAGCCACCTAAGGCGGCCAGCTGTCCGCCACGCTGAAGGTTTTCACAAATAAAGTTTTTTAAAACATGGCAGGAAATCTGAAGATTAGTGGACAATTAAAGTGTTCCTGTCCAGCAATTTTGTCTTCATATCCAGTTCTGCTGCAGATGTGTTATAGCTCTTGAGGATGTTTGAAATTATATAGCTACAACGCTTAAGAAAAAAAAAACTAAAATGCTAAATACATGAAAAGAACACGAAAACGAATAAATTTTTTATGGTATCAATTTCTATTTCTATATAATTTTTTATGGTATCAAATTCTATTTCTATATCTGTTACGTCAAGCACTCAGGTATTATAATTTGATCTAGTTGTGCTTGTATAATTTTGATCTAGTTGCGCTTTCTACGTCATTTTGTTAACATCGTTTGGTTTGTTATTTAACATCGTTTGGTTTGTTATTTCTAAGTTAACTTTCAAAAAATTGGCTGGCATCAGCATTTTTATTCTTTAAGTTGTTTATTTTTTCTTTTGGAATTCGTTCCTTTTTAGCGAAATGTTTTTCAACCTAATCGAATTCTTTGCCGACTGTTCTCTGTATATATAAAGAAAATAAAGTAAATATTTTTAAAGTGTTGTGAAAAGAATTTTTAGTTGTACAAAGTACTACAATATCGCTATAAAAATTATCGTCTTCGCTTAAGAAAAAAAAAAAAGAGCGTGGAAAGAAGAAGAAAAACTTATTATAACAATTATGAACAGCGACAAATATATCAAAGCGAAGCGTTCTATTTACGTATCGAATATGTTGCCACATTTTTAATACAAAAGTTAAACTTTTCTCCACTTTAATAAATGTAAACTAATGCGAACTTTACAATTAAATTATTAATTCCTTCGTATATTATTGGTTTAAGTTGTCGAAAATTAATATTTCAATTGTGAGGTTCGCATTAGCATACATTTATAAGAGTGGGGAAAAGTATATGCATTTTTTAATAGTTTTTTGAATATGGCTCTTTGAAGACGAAAAAGCAGACGAAAAGCATAGACTTACAAAATGACTGATAACTAAATAACTAATCAAAATTTTTGAAAAAGAAAAAAAATACTTCTTCATTATGTCAAAACATAATTATGGGCCGAGTTTCGTGCCTGGGCGAGGCTTCTGGGGCGATATATTGTGATTACAGACACACACACACAGCCGCGTTTATTATTATGTATAGATAAAAGGGTTTTTAAAACAATTTCTAGCTAACTTTTCTTTTTCCTAAAATTTCCATGTGCAGCTATGCCTAACTCCCACTGTTCAAAAATTAATAAATAACTATATGCAGAAGTATAACACCAGTAAATATATCCCGGAATTAAGTTGTTTTTTTTGGTATCATTCTGCTGGGTTTAATAATTAGGAGCAGAGTAGGTGATTTTTACGCTAATCGAAAACTTAATCCGATGAAGTTTTGAAACTTTTGCTAAATCCTATTAACGAAACATTTGCATACACGTGATTCTTCTGCCAATTTTATTCTTTTTGTTTGTGGGATTTTTACCATTTGAATATGTGGAACTATGTCGGAATCTGCTTATATCAGGATTCTTATTCACACGATTTTAGTATCAAACATCGATTTTTGTATTTACTCAATTTAAAAGTTACGTGTTATGATTCATATTCACTTGATTTAAAAATTCTACGTCGCAATTCTTATTCAGGTGATTTAAAAATCCAATAACTCGATTTGTATTTATGCAATTTAAAATTCATCATATCAATTTGTATTTTTCCATTTTTAAAATCCAATATTGCGTTTCATGCTGGTGCGATTCTTAAAATCAAATATCAGATACATATTCGCACAATTTTAAAGTCCAATATTGCAGATTCTTGTATGAAGTAAGTTTTTTCTTGAATTAGTTACGATAAATGTGTGATATTCTTCATTAGTAAGTAATTTTATTAAAGTAAGTAATATTAAATATGAAACATGTTTGGTGCATAAAAATTTTCAGGGATTTTCAATTTGTATCACAATCATCCCTAAACATGGTAACATTGCTCACAATGTTCATATGTTTGGAAACACCTAAGCTATGTACGATTCCAGATGCTGTTAAAATATCCAACTGCTATATTTTTCAACCATGTAAAACTAAAAATTATCTTATGTTGGTTTGTTGTAACAGTAGGTGATGTCTAATCTATGAAGACATTATTTTTTGCATACTCTGCTCAAACAGTTTGGAGTACTATAGGTTTACTAAATTATATCTTGATGGAATAAAAGCGTGTTGAAAATATGCAGACACACAATTTTTATTTTGTTGTACAGTTTTATACATTCATATTTTATTTCTTTTTTTAGCCAACAAATAAGAAGCGGAAACTTACAGCTGATTCAAATCAGAAGTCCATAAAATCATTCTTCCGGAAATCATAGATTTAACTTAATGTACCTGTAACATTTTTTTTAATTATTTCTTTAAAAATATTCATGCATAGAAACTAATGATTTAATAAATTTTTATAATGACAAATTCAAAATACATTACAAATCTTACCTCACAAAAATGCCTTACAAATCTTATGAAGGCTTGAAAATAAATAATTAAGTGTACAAATTTTTCCCTTTTTCAAAAATTTTTGTTAATTACTCAAAGTAAAAGTCTATTAGATCATTCTTTCAGAAATCTTGAGAATGCTTGTATTGTTTTCATATTTATTGTGTATATTGCATGTATAATTTTAATTTTATAACTGATTTTATAAAATAAAAATTGTTTTTCTATGCTTGTTTTACTTGGATCCTTATGCACTCTTAAAGATTAAAACTTTATTGAGCAAACATTAGCTTTTGAATAGCTTTTTTAAAATATATAAACTGCTCATTTTGGTTATTTTTAGAGTCATAGTAACCCAGCCTCAGTTAAGTGTGTAATAAAATGTTTCTCTAAAAATATCAGGAATAAATATAATGTTTAAGAATAAAAAATTGGTAAGAATTGTAATAAAGCTCAGTTTTTATTACAATGATAATGCAGAGGACAAAAACAGAAATGTATTAATAATATCAAATAAATAAAATTTTAAAAAAAATATATTTATATCTTTTTTTCTTTGAAACTAGGAAGCTATGCTGTCTGCTATTGCTATACACACAGAACTGTGAGAGATCAGATTACTTTGCCTTAGACTAGTCTTAGTCAATATTACAGCTTTTTTTATTTTAATAATTTAATTTAAATATATTAAAAATTATGCCCTCTACTTTTTATCAGTCAGGAACCCTTAGAAATTCTTGTGGCTCCTTATAAATTGTTTTACCATCTGAGTTCGCTTATTTCACATGTTCAACCTGCATTGGATAAATTACAGATAAGAAATAAAAATTAAGATATTGGACATTTTTTTAATCAAAAATCGGGTGACACCGAACAATCTATTATTAATGTCACTAAATCCAGTATCTAATGGTATTATCTAATGACACTAAAGCTAAATAGAATTTAAACTAATTTAGACATGTTCAGAGAAATAAGAATATCTGGCTGAGAAAAATTATAATGCTATTCCTAATACATTTTTCTACACTGAATGAGGCTTCAAAAAGAAAAGAAAATCTTCAACTCTATCTCATAAAATAGCAAAGAAAATTGTTACCTTCATCAATAACCTTCTCAAATTAGAATGTTCCTTAAGATTATTTTTTTTTAAATGTGCGAAAATTTCATGCTTTCAAATCATGCTGGGAGTCATGCTTTGCATGCTGGGAGTCAGAAATGCTTGGAAGAAACGTTTTTTAAACTACTGTTGGCAAGCACGTCAGTAGTATTTTTTTCATAGAAATTTTTTCAACATTTAAAAAATAAGTAGAAATATTTATGATCTAAAAATGTTTTATTTTATATCAAACTGGTTTATTATACTTAAGAATGACATTTTAAATTAATTTTAAGCAATTTTTTTAAAACTTAAAGAATCGGGTCTTAATTTATTAATATAATATTCAACTTGGGAACAATTTTTGAGAATAAAATTCATCAGGCTTAATTTTTTTTTCTTTTGAAGATGTTTTATTTTGGTATTTGATAAAATTTTGAGGGGAAGGGGGAATCTTTCTTTTATACTTAGAGAAGCATTCTAAATTAGTAAAATTAATTTTAAACATTTTCTTTTTTAAAACTTAAACAATAATGTCTAAATTTATAAATATATATTTAACTTGGGAACAATTTTTTAAAAAATTCATCATGCAAATTTTTTTTTTTTTTTTTTTTTTAAAAAAATTTTTTTTTTTTAAAAAAAAACAGTAATTCAAAAACTTGTGGTTCAGAATAAAGTAATCTANAGAAATTTTTTTTCTTTAAAAATCAAAGAAAGAAAAAAAAGGTTTTTACTGGTATTTGATTAAATTTGGAAGAAGAGAAAAAAAATCTTCTTTGACATGCTAACCATTGCACTATGACATGTCAAAGTTTTATTTAGAAATAAATTATGGCTACCGATGAGTTTTAATTAGCAGGATTTTTAAAAATGAGGAAAGGCATGATGCATTTAATTGTGAAAGCATCAATAAATTTCATTGACTTCAAACAGCCTGAAAACAACCCATGTATTTCATTTAAGTTTTATCGTTTCTAATTAATACTTAGTTCTAAAATTATGATTAAGCTATAACTTAACCTTTAAAAATTATGAGATTAATATTTTTTTCCCATTGATAATTTATCTTCCCCAGTTGTTAAAATTACCTACAAGTAGTTTACAGATTTCCTTGCATAAAGTGAATGAATTAAAAGTTTTTATGTGTAGGTGTTTTTTATTAAACTATTTTTTTTAATTGGTTCTTAATGTTAATCTCTCCTAAAACAATTCAATGTGTGATCTAAAGTAAATTTTATGTGTTAAAACTGCCTACTATGCTTAAATGGCTATTCTCAATGTGTTCTGTTTGTGCTTTGGAGATTAGTAAGGTCTTGCTACATGTTTTGGTGTTGAAAGTTGGCCATATTTGAGCAGTATTACTATTTGACCATAAGCTCAGCCTGACCTCATTTAGTAAGGTGTCTGAGTACAGACTTTATTGTCAAGGCTTTAAAATTTCATATTAGTATCTGAAAGTCTGATTATTAGATAAATAGTATATTCAGGTGCTGTGTTTAATTTTTTCAAATTTGGCATTGTTCTATTAGACTGACAAATGAGTTAAGAAATGCACTGTAAGACTGCTGGCCAAAGACATCTCAGAAAGCTTCTACCAACGAACTTTATGAAATGACTTGGTCTTCCATGGATTAATCTTTTAAAGTCTGAATCTGCTCAGTTGTATCTGGTCTTCCATGGATTAATCTTTTAAAATCTGAATCTGCGCAGTTGTATCTGGTCTTCCATGGATTAATCTTTTAAAGTCTGAATCTGCGCAGTTGTATCTGTCTTCCATGGATTAATCTTTTAAAATCTGAATCTGCTCAGTTGTATCTGGTCTTCCATGGATTAATCTTTTAAAGTCTGAATCTGCGCATTTGTATCTGGTCTTCCTCTTTTTGAAAATACATATTAATTAAAGTATTTCATGTTTATTTAAAAAGAACGAACTAATTTTTTTTTAAAATTCAAGTAAGCATATTCTAAAATAAGTATTTATTGTGGCTAAAAAAAATTAAGTGGATTTTTCACTGAATGAATAATTTATTTTTGGAATTAGAAACTTAATAGTATCTCAAATACTGGGCTACATTGGTAGATCTCAATTTTAAAAAAAAATAGAAACTATGATTTTTTAAAAAGCTGAAGAAGTGACAATTTTATTTTGGTCATCCCTAAAATGTAATAAATATGTAGGGAGCAATATTTTCAAAATGCACAGTGGTGAGATTTTCGATGGTAATAGATGTTATGCATGAAAATAATGCATCAAACTGATAAATTTTAGATAGCTGATAAAAATTTATTATTTTCTCCTTACTGTATTTCACTAAACAAAGTTTTTAAACTTTTTATTTTAATATTTTCTGCTGAGTTTTATAGAAGGAAGTCTAAATTTCAGCTGACCATATTATTTACTTGCGATATTTAGGAAACAATATTAATTAGTATTGGTATCAAGTACAACTTTATAGTCGAAATTCGAGCACTGTAGCTAGTCAGAAAGTGATTGAAACCTCGATTTATGATGAATTCTGCCTGCAACAGTCGGGAAGCAATTGAAACTTTTATTTTCTACATAAAATTGAAATTAGAGCCCTTTCAATTGTCTGAACTTTATTAGATGCTAAATTATATTTGGCGATAAAAATGATCATAATTTTCTTTCATGAAATTATCGAATCAATCACTGTCATTAGCACTTAAATTCAGTAAACATTTGAGCACTCTAACTATTCGGAAAGTTTCTGAGATTACGATTGATTGCAAGATACAAGATCTCATACATATATCGGGTTAAAAAAAACGCGGTTTATTTATGAAATCTTACTTATTATCTGCAACTAAGTTAAGTATTATAATCCAAATTATCAACAGTTCTATTCCAATAAATTTAATTTTTACCTTTCTCTGAAACAGCTCTGCAATTTGAATATAAATAAAACCATCGCATAAATGAATTAATTGGGCAATTTTCTTTTTAATTAATTTAGCAACGAAATTCTGTCTGCACGAACTTCTTGGAATGACCTAATTAAACGTTTTAAATTGCGTGATAGTGCATAGAAATAATGTTGTTTATTTATATTTTTAACAGCGCAAATAAAATACCAAAAGAAGCGTTAAAGTTTGTTCATAAGAAATAATAATCAATATTGAATGACCCTGCCATCATAGCATATTAAATAGATATTACGTAAACTGGTTCTTGTTTACTGTTATCTTTCGCAAATTGTCGAGATAAGCGAATATTTATTGTCATTCTGAACTGAGAACTAATTGTCCTTTTAGGCATTAAATTTTTATAGCGATAATAAAGCGAGATAAAATATGTTACTTTCGTTTGCCTTAGTTTCGTTTTTTTTTGTATTGAGAATTAAAAGTAAAGCCTGCGCTAATTAACGAAACCATACTAATGTTTAATTAATTATAATGAGACAAAAAATCAACAAATTAATTATTTAGAAAGAAAAAATGGACACTTCTTTGTTGGTTTAATGGTAGAGGAAACTTTCACTTTTCTTCTAAAAATAAAATAGATCAATATTTCAATTGGGGAAAACATCGTTAGAAAATGAAAAAATTTTATAATGAAGTAGGCATAAAAGTTTAAAAAAAAAAAAAGTTTTTTTTTTATTATATCAAATTGTATTTTTATTTTATTTCATAATATTCTAAATCAATTTTTAGATGATTGCTGTGATATTCAATTTTTTAATTGCTTTTAAGTTCCCTTTAACTTTTGATTCTTTCCATACGTAAATAAATTTAATGCATGCATTCTTAGACAATGAAATCTTAGACCAATTTAAAAAAGAAAAAGTTAAAAATTATTCAATTAAAAAGAAATCAGAAGTCAATTTAAAAAGAAAAAGAAAATTCAAGAATGAGAAAATTATCTAATCTTATGTTTGAATTTAAAACTGAAAACTATCAGTCAACACAAGTGCATGCTGATAATAAGTACAATTGGTTACATTTCAGTTCTTGTATTTTCTGGAAAGAAAAAAAATATTTTTTTTTTTTAATGGCAGGCACTGAATTTCAATCTTTGCCTATACTACGCCAGAATTGTTGCTCATTTCGCGTTACCCAGTGGACACCTGTGAACCAAAGTCACG